GCCTCCGCAAAACGACGTAGAAACACACACGCACACATGCATAAATCTGTGTGTGTGTGTGTGTATGTGTGTGTGTGTGTATGTATTATAATACATAATCAGCGTCGTGCAATTATTTATTATATACATATGTTTTTTAGATTTTGCCTATCACTGCCTAAAATTGATTTAGTGCCAGTTGTTCTGCAACAAAGATGCTCACAAAAGATAATGACTTTAGACTTTTAGCGTGACTCAAATCTCTCTCAAAATAATAATAAAATGCTATCTAAATGAAATCTGGCAATGTGACAGCAAAAAGTGACTATAAATATTTTATTTTCGGTTTATTTATACTCTTTAAAATTGCAATCACTAACAAATTTCGCTTGGCTTAACAGACAGACTAGCTGACTGATACGACACCCACGCGCCAAACTCTCATTGTCTGTGTGAATTTGTGTGGGTGTACTTGTGTGTGTGTGTTTGTGTGTGTGTGTGTGGGTGCACGCGTTGAGAGTTTGTTTTGTAACCGTTTTGTTGCTTTTTATGATAAAATTTCTCGCTGTGACCTTGTCGTAAGTATATATAGTTATTTATTCTTGCAGCCGCCATTATAATTGTTACTCTTGTTGTTGTTGTCATTTTTTTGCTTCTACTGTTGTTGTTGTTGTTTCGGCGCGTGGCCGCGTTAATTAAAATTTGTGTTTACGGGTTAGGGGCAGCCTGTGGAATGGATTGAGGGGAAACCTCCTGCTTCGCTTAGTTTTGATGAGTTATGGTTGTCGATTTTAGTGGGCATAATAATAAAGGCAAGGTTATTAAAGTCTTACCTATTTATTGTGAAATCAGTTCTCAGTTGCTTTATTTTGTTAATTATTTCAATATGTCACCAAACAACAAACATTTTATTAATTGTCAATAAGCTTATTTTTATTAATACACCAATTTAAAAAAAAAACATTTATGTTTATTTTTGATAATCAATTTCGCTTAACAAAAATCGCAAAATCTAAATTTATGGCATTTCAAATTTTTACTATAAATATTTTAGCTTTCACTGGATTATTAATATGTTTATATTTAATAACACACCTTTCTAAATTTCGCTTAAATTTAAATTTCTTCATATGTTTTAGGTTTCACTGAATTTTAATTTGTTAATTATTAATATTTGTTAAAATCTATGGTTTTTCATATTTTTGTCATAAATATTTTAGATTTCGGTGAATTTTTATTGATTTGTGCACATAAATAATACTTATGCTTCAAAAACGCTTCAGCGCTCAAAAGGAGGCAACACTTTTTTTTATTTATTACACAGCCCAAGCAGTGGTGCGTATGAACAAACCTTCTGTATGTGTTTGTGTATATGTGTGTGTGTGAGAGAGAGTCAGAGAGCGCCTGTCAGACAGAGAGAGCGAGAGGGAGAGAGAGATAGAGTCACGCCCACATATGTGCATAATATTATACAATTTTGTAGCGCATACACATAATACAGCAACAACAGCAACAAACATTCAAACAAAGTGTATGTCAATCTGTCAGTTAGTCTGCCAGTCAGTCAGTCCGTCTGTCTGTCCTAAACTGCTCGTCGCCAGTCAGTGCCTAGTTGTGAAGGTTGTTCGAAGCGTTGATAAAACCGAATCGATAAAACTGAAACGAGATGTTTTTTGGCCATCATGGCTTTGTTTGGCAACACAAGCAGCAACAAATACAACAAACACAACAATAACAAACACACACACACACACCCCCTCCCCCATCATATCTTCCATATTGTATACAACAGCAACAATAATTGTTCAGCTTATCAACGCTTGCATGGCAAGCAATTCGTCGAGTCCAAATTCAGTTGTCGGCTTTCGTTTATTTGGCATATGTAAAATTAGTATCTGAATCTGAATGAAATGAACATGAATCCAGAGATATTATTGAGTGATAGTTAGATAGATTGTCATAGAAATGTGACTAAAAAATATTTGTATTAATGTTAGTCAAATCTTTTACAGCAATAATACGTGTCTGTGATAGGTTTCTCTTACGATCTGTGTTGGAGTCTGATTACCGCCCTAATCTAACCTAACTGGTTCATTGGTACATCCTTTTATATATTTTGAATATATAATATTGAATGGGATTTCAACTTAAAAGACCATTTGCACTATGTACATACATATTTATCGACTTCGTAATCAAATCCAAATAATCATTAGAAATTATTTCAATTGACTAACATTTTCTTCGAATTGATATAATATAATTCTTCTGTGTTAATGCAATTATCTGAATTAAAATTGTAGGTTTTCATTTAATTAATTTAATTTTAATTTAATAATATGCAATTTATTCGCCAATCCTGGGAAGCCTGCTATTAAAATGTTTGCGATAATCGATCTTTGTGTGGCACGTAGATCTTTAAGAGACCTCCTCATATCAGATACATATCTAAATTAAGGCAAGTCTTAAGTCATTATATCTGCATAAAAGCCTCAAGGGAAAGACAAAAGAAGAAAGAAGATAACATCATTCATTCTTCTAGCATGCAATTTATGCTTAAATGGTTACAAGGACAACGCGATTATGAGAGAAATCTCGGTGGATGTGTTTCGTGGCTGGGTGGATTGTCCCCTTTGGGGCTGCTTTCTGCTATCCGCCTGCTGTTTTCTGCCATTTGACCTCAGTAAGCCATCCTCCAAGCAGGATGTGTACACAAAGCATTCACTAAGCCTTCTAAACAAAAGAATAAAACATTAAAAATAGGAAAGAAAAAGAAAAGAGCAGCTAGCTAATGAGCAGATATCCCCGTACTTATGGACTGAAATAAGCATCCATTGTATTCTGCTGGCAATACTAAATAGAATTCAACACATTGTTGAAGAATTAACCGAATTCTGTTTGTCTCACTCAAATTTACCATATGCATACATTGATTAAGATAAACTTTCTCTTTCATTCACTTAAGAAATAAATTTATTGAGCAGAGCGATAAATATGAATACAGCAAAAGCTGGGTGTATTTTTATCCGGAATGCTCGACTAGCATATACACTATACATAGTTCTGTGCTTGATTCGTATATACCCTGTATAGAGCCAGGGGATGAGAATGTTCTATAGCAAGAGGAACAGAGGGAGAGTGTGAGAGAGACGGAGAGAGTGTTCGAGACTGAGAGGGAGACTGTGAGAGAGAGAGGCAAACAGAGTCCGAGGAATAGACCGATCTAGAGTAAGAGAAAGAGAAAGCGATAGAACAAAAAGAGAAGAAAGTGACAGACCGACTGAGGCTATGTGAGCGACTGATATAGTGAAGGCCATCAAAAGAGACAATAAAAGAGAGAGTAACAGTTGCAATGGCTAATAAAGTCAGAGAAAATTGTATAAAATTAAAATTATAATCTGAATTGAAATAAGAATACCTTTAGTAATATGCACCTCGCTTAAATCACAATCCACTTCATAAAAATCGCAGAGGAAGATTAAATAGTCATTTAATAATCCAACACTTTTAATGAATTTCACACAAAACGTAAAAGCAAAATTGATTCTTTTTGCGTTAGCTTTACACGAGCAACAGATCGAAAGGTTTATATAGACATTTGAATAATATATGCATATATTGAGATATTTTAATGACTATGAAAAGTTGTTAAGTTTGTTAACGTACGTAAAATAACGCAGCTTGCTGCGACTTGGGCAGCTGTCATTAAAATCAATTTTAACAAGTCTACGATAAATACGTATTTAAAAAATTATCTAATGATCATAAGTGCATACTTACACTTCAAATAGCATTGAGTATCTTTTTCACTTAGCTCAAAAGTCATCAATATAATTTTAAAGCATCAATATTAATAATACACACATCTATAATTAATCGAATTTAATTAAGGGTTAACACACGAATTTAATTAAGGGTTAACACACTAATAGCTGCTGGTACAAACACATACACAGAAGACATTAACGGGTTACAGCTGCTGTTGTAACGGCAAGCAGTGACAAAGTATGCGCGTAAAAGCGCGCGCCAAATAGCACACACACACACACATACGCACACACAGATGTAAATTTGTAAGTGCAAAAAGCATACGTTCAGCGTATGTGGAAATATGATTAATTCACAGTTAATTTTTATTTGCTGTTTCACTCACACTCGCGACAATCCAATAAATATTAACAAGTGAGTATAAATGACTATTGACTGTCGAGAAAAGTGATAAGCGCACGCCATACGCTCGGAAATTGCGATGCAAACTAAATCAAGTAACGCCTGCTGCGACAGTGTTGAAAAGCGTGCAGGCCGCTTAGAATTTTGCAATTTTATATTATAATTGTTCTCTTCTGCATACTCTGTTGGCAATATGAAAAAGGTGTCTATGGGTTTGCTATTAATACGGAATACGACTCTCCATTACTCCCCCAAATGCGGAAAAATGTGTAGTAGATATATTCAAAATGTAGTTATATGTATTAAAAATTAAAAATGTGCAATATATTCAATTGTATTTCATAACCGATAAACAAAAATTCGTCCGTCCAAATTAGAATAAGCAAAGCAACGTTAGTGCAACATCTTTAACAGATGGTGAAGCAGATAAGAAACCAATGCACAGAAAAAATATGTAATTACGTTGTGTGCATACGAATGCATTATTCGGTAATGAACGGCCATTCACTAGTTTGCAACTGGGTGCATCGAAAACAGTTTGGGTGTCACTGACACCTAATCACATTGTTAAAGCCGACTCCCAACAGTTCGGAGTAACTGTCGCTTACTCCCAGTTTTAAAGCAAACAGGCAGTCATTTACCTTTTTCGAACAGAGTATCGCAAAGTCATTGCCTTTTACTTTTTTTCAACAGCAAATACAGTTCTCTTTATCTCTTCTCTTTCATGAAGCATCGGTACAAAACATTTTGTGTACCACTATTAACAGTTTGATGGTCACTCAAGCGTTGCCACAGTTTTAGAGGCTACAGTTTCGTTCCCAGCTTTAACAGAATAACGCAAAGTCGTTGCATTTTAAGTGTTCTTTTGTTTGTTTTTTTTTTTTTTTTTTTTAATGTCAGAGGCAAATTGTTGAAATATTCGCTTTACACAAATTCATCTAGATTATAATTTAAACAACTTAAAGTAGCAATTAAAAGGGGGTGGGCAACTACAGTTCCTGGTGAGCGTATTCCTCGTGCAAGGACTCCTTTTCCTTTGGCACAATATACAGTCCCTCCGATGTGGTCCATCGCGTGCCATGCTGTGGACTATGCAAACCCACAATTTCCATTTGCCCCGAAATTGGGCGGCCATAGGAGCGACCCGACATGCCCAGATACATGCCAGTGTCGATGTGACGCAATCGCACATGAGCATCGCGCATCCAACTCTCATTGGAACAGATCACTTCCCAATTGTCACCGGAATCGCCGACACCATCGACGCCATAGGCGGACACTTCCTGTTCCCCGGACAACGGCGATGTGAAATGATGCGAATGCAAATTCTTCTTAGTGGTCAGATGCTCCAATCGAATGGTTGCGCCACATGCGATGGCATCGCCGCGATCGCACATCTTCTGCGCCTGCGCCTTGATCATCCAGTGGCTGTTGACATCCTCTTTTTGCTCCACGCCCGTCACCGACTGCTGCCCCGACCCAGAGCCATATTTGACATCGTGCGAGTGCAGCCGATATGCATAGTCCGAGTTGAGCAATTTCAGTATGGAGCCACATGTAACGTAGTTCGTCTTGGCAGCTAAACTTGGGAAATCGTTTCAATTTAAGTTTCTTTTTTTTTTGAGGGGGGCGGAAAATGCGGCGTGGGCCAATCACAGCCAACCACATAAACTGCTGGCAGAAAAAATAGTGTATTCACCTTGGTTGACATCGATTAGGCTGATGAGCGCCAGAGCAACACCAAGTAATGTGTGCAGCATGTTGTCTCTTCTTCTCTTTTTTGTTAACAATTAAGTACTTAATCTAAAAATTAGAATGTAAAAAGCCGTTTGCGGCAAAAAGCAAGCAACACGCAAACAAATGATATTGACAGCTCACTGAGTTGATCAACACTGATAAATACGCACATGCACAAACTGCGGGCACCCCAAATACTTTATCAGCTGCTGAAATGCTAACAGTTTCGTTTTTAGTTTGGCGAAAAATTAAATAATTCATTTACACCATGCACTTTAATATATTTTACGACTTGTGATGAGCGAAATTTAATTAAACAGACATTCACTATTCTAAAACTCGCTTAACTGTTAACGTGTATAACAGCTCTGCTGTTACTTAAAATGCGAAGTTGTAAGCGATATACGTATCTATCGATATGCGATAAGTGGTCTTATGTCAATTTACAGCACTGCAAATGTTGTAGCAAGTCTTGTTTTTTTGTGAAAATTTCGGAAAAATTTCACTAAGACAAAAATTAATGGCACACAAGCGTTTATTTATCTACGCTGCACTACTAGCGATATGTTATTTAGTTGGCGTGACATGGGTAAGCATTCTGAATGCAACAACTACGCCGTAACTATTGACATTGCTTTGTTTTGCACACACAAAGGCTGAGACAGCAACACAAACACTGCCAATCAGCAGCAGCAACACCAACAACAATGCCAGCCAGCCGATTGCAGCTGTCAAATCCGTTCCAGCAGCAGCAGCACCACCACCAGTGATAGCTCCCACAATTGCTGCACCAAAAGTAATTAGCAGCACTGTCGCCAGTGGCAGTAAATCCGGAAACAGCAGCACAACTGAATGGTTTGTAGTGTTGCAAACAGCGTAGAATATGCAATCGATTTGTAATATTTATATTTTGGTTTACTTAGTGCCTGCGCCGGTGCGCTGCTGCCACAAGTCGATGCCAATGGCAAGGAGCTGCCCATTTGCGCCGAATGCAAATGCGCTCATGTCGCACGTAATACAACACTTATTAAGGTGCGCATTGCCAATTTACACAAACACACACACATTTACAAACGTCGCAGGTAAATTGAAACTGCAACGCTTCATTTCCAGTGGTGTAAAATATATTTATAGATTTCAATTTGCCATAATTTAACTTTTGTGTTTATTATACCCGAGTGCCAAGAAATATATATATATTCTTGATCATCCTTTATAGCCTCGTCGATTTAGCCATGTCCGTCTGTTTGAATTCTTTTTGTCTTATTTAAACTCAAATTTAAATTAAATTAGCTAGCGACCACTGTAATTGTCTGTCTGTCACGTGAGCTTTGCTAATAATGAAAAACTTGCTTTTGTTATTTATTTTGCAGGTGGTTGTCATCATTGTGATTTGGATAATATCCATATTAGTGATATATATGCTCTTCCTGATGTGCCTGGAGCCGCTGCTGAATAAACGCGTCAAGGCCAACAATTATCAGGAGCACACCAATGAAGATGTACAGTTGAGATCTATTCGATATTCAGGCATTAAATATAGTCGACTAGCCGCTAATCCTGCCATCGGTGACATCAGTCATGATGATGATGATGATGATAATGATATTGATCATGATGATGATGACGATGATGAGCAGCTAGTTGGCAATAAAGAAGCACACAACTTTTAAGTTTCACATCGAGACATATTTTATTTGTTTTATTTTATGTTATTTCGTTTTTCACTTTGTTGTTACTAACACTCAAGCATGTCTCCTAACAAAAGCCGTTTATTTCTGTTGTTTTCAATGACATTTTTACTAATTTTTGCTAAAAATAACCTTTCTCTTCTCGTATCTCTCTTCCTTTTTTTGTACTGCATCTGGTAGGATGAGCCCAGTGCCCCCCCACCGCCCGTCGGCAGCAACAATCAGGAGCTGAGCGCCCGCGCCAATGTCCTCAATCGTGTCGGACATCAGCAGGACAAGTGGAAGCGCCAGGTGCGGGAGCAGCGACGACACATCTACGATCGCCACACAATGTTGAATTAATCTCATACAGCAGCATTTGGGTTTTGGCTTCGGCTTTGGCGACTTAAAGACACCGCATTCCGGCAAAAAAAAAAAAAAACATAAATATGGCAAAATTTTGTATTTGTATATTTTGGAGGCCCTAACAGCCCGCTTGGATCAAACAAATAATAATTTAAAAAACCCTTAGACACAATTTAATGTTATTTAAATAAAAACAAAAAGTACCTAACCAAACTATTATTATTAAAGAAATGTGCAATTTTTATTTTTAAAGCAAAGCGTATTTGTCGCAAGATTTTGAAAAGAACAGAGAAATGTTCTTTCATCAAAAAGTTCATTTTTGAAAATGAGGAACAGGAGCAGGAAAAGACATCGAAGAAGGAGCAAGAGAAGAAGCTACATGTGTGCACTATATACTAATCTATACCTTCCCAAAGCAGCTACACATGTATATGATATAGTAATCTGATATTGATTATATTAAGCGAAAATTAAGCACTCGAAATGGGTGCATTTATTTTTAATGCCAAAACTGATTTTTTAATCTTTTGCTACTATGCAACAGTAGTCAAATCCAGTGTACAGGTAGATTTCTTTATGGAAAGAGTGATGTATGCTTCTATAGTCTTCTTATATAATATTACTATTCTAAATTCTTCTCGTAACAAAATTTTTAATATGTTGCGCAAAAAGACTTCAAGCTTAACTCTATTTGATCTGTTTATAATTTTCGTCTTTAAGATTTTATTAATTTTTCTTAAGAAAAATCTAAATAAAAATCGTTTGCTGACTTTCATTACTCGAGTTATTATTTACCAAAATGAACCAGCGGCTTTATTTAAAGGAGTTGTATCTTAGATTAAAGAATTTATAGACAAATGCCAGTTAATAGCCCTCAACTGTCTCGGCAAAGGTCCAGTTCTCCTCGACTTTGAAGGGACCCTTAACGCTGCAATCGCTGGCACTGCAAATGCCCACCGTATACTGTGGAATGCTGCGCGTATCGCGGTAATACAGCACCTTCATGCATTCACGAATCTGTGCAAAGGGGAGTAGACTGGATTAGCCAGGATTACAAATGTGAAGGCAAAGAGAAATGCTTACCAAATTGGATGCCTCCTCGAATGTGAAATCGCGATCTTTGGGCTTGCGTTCACGCACCAGCGGCAAGGCCAAATGTCTGCCGAAACCAGTGGCGACCACATAATCATCATAGGCCCGTCCACGTAAATCCACATTGCCCAGAAACGGCACGCCCGCCTCATCGACACCAGCAACGACGACATCGATGTAAAGCGGATTCATTCGCGACCGACGATTGTAGAGGACGCGTGTCAGCCAGCTGGCCAGGGATTTGGGCTTCATGACCACACCATCGTTGCAGCACTGATCCTCGATCATCTTCTGATCGATACTGCGCTTAATCGATTGGATGTCAGCAAAATCACCGCTGCCGCCCAACAAGATTTTGTCATTGATCTTGAAAACGCGATCGATGTTCTGATATCGAGCCAGGGAACCATACGAAACAAGTGTATCGGCAGCGACCAGGACGCCGCCAGCGTATCTAATACCCACCACCGAGGAGCCAGTGGTAATGGCAGCCCTACAAATATAAATACATTTTCAATATATTCCGCTGCAATTTTAATTTGATTTTTACTTACGTGCTGTGCTTGGTGCCAAAAGGGCCGGCCGTGGTTAATTCGCGCGGCAGCTCTGCTTGCGTATTGCCGCCCATAAAATTGTAGAATTGACCCGGAGCTGGTCCATTGAGCCACATGGGCTGTGCAAAGGCGTTGTTCATCATTTTAAATACGCTACAAATATGAGAATTAAAAAAGCAACAGCAGCAGTCACAGAATGACAGGCACAAATAAATGCCAAACAGTGTTGTATAGCGTTGAATTGTTCGTAGTTGTGCAGTGCTGCTTTTGTGATTTCTTATCGATATGCACAACAAGAGGGAGCGCTATGCTAAACCAGGGCTGCAAGTGTTGTCTGGCAGCGCTGTAACAAAGTGCGCCCAATTTGAATAAACAAAGCTTTTGAATTTTGCTACACAACATAAATTGATAAATTTTGAGTGAAAAATTTCATTTTATTCTTAAAATAATACAATGTATAAATATATGTGTCATAAACTCAGACTAAATATAAAGAGAAAAAATTAATTGTCGAGCAAGGCAAGAAATGAGCAAAATTTTGAGTAAAATATTATATTTATTATTTTTTGAGTTTATATAATTTTCAATATAATGTACATACATATGTAAAAAAATATCTATGTTTTGAATGCACACCATTGAGGGGAATGTTTGTTGTTAATAATGTTTTGCATCTTACAAGTCACACATAATACAGGTGAATAAATGAATATCAAATAGAGAGTACCGTTATTACTAATTACTACAAAAAACCATTAAACATAGATAAATTGATAGATAGATATATGGTATATATAGCATACATAACAATTTGTTGTTCACATTATACAATAGTCAAATACTCTACAAACATTACTAGCTACTGTCACGGCCAATGTATCTTATCTTTCATATATTATATATATATGTAAATATATTTAATTTTAAAGCTTTTCAATCCTTGCAGCAGCAATAAACATTATCGCTGGAGCTAGCTGGTGTTGTCGGCACACTTTGACCCGTCGTCGTCTTTTGGGGCTTGCTATAGGAATGTGGACCACGCATAAAAACATCGATGAGCTGACAATGCGAGCTGCAAAAAATCAAAATAAATATAAAAATTCAAATTATAAATTTTTTAAAATACTATTCGTCGCCTTGCTTACCTCATGGTTATATCCAGATCGGTGACAACCTCGCCATCACAATTCCAGCTGGAATATTCCGAACTGAGCGTATCGCTGCCACTTTGAGCAATCGGCTGACGGGAGCCGGCAATACTCGGACTCTCTTCCGCCGTAGCCGCTGTCAGTGTACGGAAAATGAACTTTCTCGTGCGATAAACCTCCACAAAGGGTAAATTACGCTGCGAACATAAATAAAATGTAATAATTATGTGAATGACTAACATAGATATACATAAATATATAAGTAAATATATATTATTTTTTACTTAAAATTCCCATATGCATGGTGTATATATACTTACAATATCGCCTGCACGACCCGCCGTATTCAGGAGAAACCGCAGATTGTTCACCAACGAAGTTTTGCGCACGAGAATCAGATCGAGGCAGCCATCGCCCAGGTGACTGTAGCGCGAGATGCCATTAGGACTGCGGGAACAGGCACACGTGATGTTGGCGCCGCAAATCATAAAGAAATTGCCACGTATCACCTTCCACTGGAGTCCGCTGCGTAGACTCAAACTGGAGGCATACGAATCCGATGGCTGCAGCGGGAGACTAAAGAGACGCGGGAGTCGCGGACGCAACAGGCTCATTTCACTTATAGCATTCAACAGCATCTGTGGATTGGCCTGCTGATGATGCAGTGCCTCGTTGTGTGGCAGCTCCCGCGGAGACAGCTCTTGCTCCTGCTCCTGCTCGTTCTCCTGCTGAGGTTGCTCTTGCTCCTGTTTCTGCTGAGGCTTGTTGGCTTGTTCCTCCCCGTCCAGTTGCTTCTCCTGCTCCTCCTCTTCCTGTTGCTTCTCCTGAACCTGCTCCTCCTGCGTGTCTTGCTCAAAGAGCGTGGAACGCTGTTCGAGTAGCGAGGAACTGGCAATGCTGCAACGCGCACAATTTGCATAGCAAACGGATCGTTGGTCATCGAGCAGCGGACTAACCGGACTCTGTGGCGTCATCGCCGCTGACTCCGTGGGCTCTTCGAGCAGCTGCAGCTCGGCATCGTAACCCCGATTGCTAATGAATGCCTTGATGCCGCTATACTCATAACGCTTGGTGCCCATCCAGCGATACTGTTCGCTCGTCGCAGCCACATCACCGAGATACCCATAGCTGAGCACACTGGCACAGAAACGGAGCAGACTTCGATTGTTGCTCACGCTGCACACGTCCAATCCACGTCGCTGGCCGAGCAGCACATAGATCGCTGCTGTTCGCACATCTGCCGTGCCATGCATGCTATAAACGATGGTGTCCGTGCTGCCGGCAGGTATAATGGCGACGGGTAAACTTGGTCGTGGTATATACGCCGGTCGCTGCTCATCGAGGCCCAATTCACGCATCCGGCGAAACACCAGACCATTGATGACCTCCGCCACAGTGCCATCGCCACCCACACAGCACACAGCATCATAGCAGCTGAGCTCGTGGCTGAGGAGTATATCACGTATTTGATTCGCACGCTGTGTCGTTATGCAGGTGGCATCGATGCCTGCCAGCTGAAAGAGGGGACGCACCAGACGCTCATAGGTATTGGCGCCCGCCTTCCGGCCCCCATACGGATTGATGAAGACGAGCAATCGACGCACTCGCTGCACCAGTCGCCGCTGCACGCCGCATTGCCACTGACGCACAATGTACGCATCCGCATTGTAGAAGGTCAGGCGACGTAGTTGCCAGCGATTGCAATCCGTTTTGGATTTTGTCAGACGTTGCGCATAGTTGATGGTTAGAAATTGCGATGTTGGCTTGGTGGCAGCAGCATCGCCTCCTCCTTCATTCACATCCATCAGCTGGGGCGGCTTGAGGCTCTCCTGTTTCGTTTGGCCTGCACACACACTGATGATGTCGTCCATGTGCAGGATGTGACTGTGTGGACCATAGTCATAGCCAGCACAGTTGTCGTTTGCCAATTGTTGTTCGGGTGGCAGTGGCGCTTGTTTGCGCGCCTCGTCGCTCTTATTTGTGGCACGTTGCATGCGCTCCCAGACGAGATGGTCGCCGTGCAACAGCACCCGATAGCTCTTCTTCTTCAGCTGAAAGTTATTCAGCAACACATCCGTGGAGCAGTCGCTTTGCGTCATCTTCTTCGGGTCACTTTGTCTCTGCAAAAAACACAAAATAATGTGAGGTGAGAAAGCGGCAACATTAGCAAAAGAAAAATACAAGAAAAAAACTGGTTTCCATTAGAATTGCGTACTCTTTTTAACTTGGCTGTTAAGTTATGGGGACTGGAACTCATTGCAATAAATCATTGTTACATTCACTTTTTGTTGCTTACCCATTACAAAATGTTTAACGAAGCGTATATGTGCAAAACTCGTATTTATCGATAAATATCGATATAGTTTTGTTATCGTTGGAGTGTATACGAACAAAGCAAATCAAATATGATTTTTATATGATTCTAGTTTAATTCTACCTTACTCAAATAGCTAAGTATGTCATAAAGTTTTGTTTCTAATTGTTTCGCCCAAATTTTAAATTTAAATTTAAATTTATTTTCGTTTTTAGCTAAACACAATCCAAAAAATTGACAACTATAGATGTCTAGTCAAAACTTTTGACTACAAAGTTAGCATTACTTTTATGAATATTTTCCATACGCTATAAGGCAACAATTTTGAAACACAAACACAATATGCATTCACATTAAAGTGATTTACGACGCAATTTTGAATAATAGCAATTGGAGAATGCACAAAACAAAAGTGATTCACGACACAACAAATAAAGACAAGAATGCAATTTACAATTGGTGTGTGTGTTTGCGAGTAGAGGATATGTTTTAGTCGAGCACTCGCGAGCAGAGCTCTCTTACTTGGTTTAATGACAACTCGAGTGACAAAGCAGCAGCAACAACTGCTCTTTTCAACAACCTGTGTACAATAATGAACCTTTAGAGCTTTTGTGAGATCGGATCATTGACAAAGCCTCAACAAACACAATCGACATTGTTTTTTTTTAATGTCATTAGCAAGCGTATGTTAATTGCTAATTTAAATAGTTTTTCGCTCAGTGAACCAAAAAGGCTTATTAAAGGCCACAAATATATATTTATATATATATTGATAGAATACAACACCAAATATAACAAAATATAATTATCAATTTAAAACTCTTTGGTGGCAAATGAATAATGCTACTTTGTTGTTCAATTTTTTATCAGCAGCAGAAAGATAACTGCAAAATTGACTTTTAACTTACACATAAATTCAAACGTTGTATTTTTATTGTTCTTTCAGCCACGTCACAAAATGCAGTTCTCAATTTCTGACGCTGATAACAAAAATCCAGCAAAACAGCATTTTTAATGACAGTTTAATGCCATGTAGTTCACAAAGTCGACGAATTGATTATTTTTACAAGGAAAAATAAAAGCGAAACAAAATGGAGATAAAATGAATGAAAGAGATACTTCAGCCAACTCGTTTCTGACGCACGCCATAAAAGTTAAGTCTACAGAGGCAGAACAAATAAAAAATCTGAGAAGCCTTTGGCTTGTGGAGAACAGAACAAACAGAACTCGTGTCACAAATGTGCAAAAAGCTGCACAAATAATTATTCAATGTTTATGTAGTCGCCAAGTTATAAGAATACGCCACTAAGGCAACTACTGTGGCCTTCACAACAACAAAAGTACTTTAAATGTGACTACCATTCGCTGCTGTTGCTAATTAGCTGCGCTAACTTTACTTTAGTACACGTTGGAAACTAGAAACAAGTTAGAAGGCTCTAATCAAGATGGAACGAATAACAGATACCCTCTTAAAAACATACTAAGCTTGCTGTTTATTCAAATTGTTTGAACGTGTTAATTAATAAAATCTGTATTTGTTTATTTTCTTTACAATTGTGTAGTTTATTGCTATCGATTTGTATCGATATTCGACCGGTTGCAGTTATCGACATAAAGAAATAAAATTTATCAGCCTAAGATATACAAATAAGAATACAAAATAAAGTCTATACCTTTTCTAAATCGACTTGGTTGTTGATGCTAATCAACGATTCTTTCTTCTGCCTGTTACATTGAGTACAAACAGGTATTTTTAGCTGAAGAATGATGGACTACACAATACCTTAAGTGGAGAGATTTAATGCGTAAATATATAAATATAATTTTGAAGATTATTTTTTAATTTAATATATATTTATTTTTTTCAAGAAGTAATTTTAATACTTTCGACAATTATCTAAATCATTGAAATAATATATAATAATTTAACAAAAATGTTTAAAATCTCATTTACTTGTATTTGGAGATATTTTTAATTTATTATCAACATCTTTAAGCATTTTTAATAATATAATTATGAAATTCAATTTCGTCTGCTGCTTAAGATCTAAAACTCTAAAAAAAACTCATAACTTATAATATTGTTTTATTTAAGAATGTTGTAATATATTATATACATTTTTACAATCAGTAAATTCTGATTTGTTTAATTTCAGCTTTTGCTAATTATACTGTGGTGAAATTTAAGCTTTGTATATGGACATAGACAGTAAATAGAATTATTTGTGAATTGGAATAATCGCAAAGCGTGATCGCTGTACAAATTGATGTACGTATAATTTAGCTATTTTATGTATCGATAAAAAGCATGTCAAATGATGCAAAAGTTAATGTTAGACATTTGTAGGCATCTACAATGATTATACACAGGGTATAAAAAAAACAGAACCCGCATAATTTTCATAGCCCAGCGAAACGAAGCACGTTTTTGAGTCAACGTGTCGAATGAGCGACGACGTTCAAGGTTAACCAGCGGCACCCGAAGCGAGGCCAAAACTCTGTTTTAGAATCGATTCAATTTGGCGAAGCAGATGAAGCTGCGTAGGGTCAACAACAACAACAACAACAACAGCAGCAGCAGCAGCAGCAACAACAACTATTTCAAGTGTAGCTATAAGAAACGAGTTCCTCTCTGCTCCACCCAGTTGCGCGCAGCTTTTGTTGACCTTCGCCTTGAATTGCAGCGCGTTTTTTTGTTGTTGTTCGTTTTTCTTTGCTTGGTTTGAACTGCGTCGACTCGCTTGACCGAGTAGAGCTAATGTCAACTACTAGCCAAATCGAAGGTCAGCCAAGTCATAATTATAACCGTGTATGCATCTGGTCCAGTTTATGACACAAAATTTGCATGCAAATTGCTTTTTTAGGTTTGTTCAGTTGAGCTGTGAATTCTTTTGTGCATTTCATGCTGACAAATAGAGAAATTAATGCATATACACTCAGAAAAATAATGTAGAAAATTGCCATAATCTTGGCTTCAAGTATGTTTGTCATAATTATATTAAAGAAAATATTATTTGGCATATCAGATTTAAATAATATATCGTATAAATAACAGCCGCAGCTCAGTTTGCACTTGCTTCTTCTGAACTTGAATTTTGATTTTAAGTGCAAATTATGAGTATTAGTGTTAAAAGCTAAAGCCTTTCTGAACTCAAGTGGTAAACAAATGATAAGAATCGATAAGCTTTTATGGTTGCTGTGTAACGTTAAAATTTGCACATCGCATTGGTAAACCAAATATTAACACGACCTCTTTTAATTTGAACAGCCTACTTTCAGCTAAAAGACAATAAAAGCATTTGTTTTTCAGTAATTTTTAAGCAACGCTGTTAATTACCCTTTTCACTTGCAATTAGCTAAAAATCTCATTTAATTTTCTGTGTATTTTGACCTTTGATATTGCTTGCCAAAAATTAATTATAGTTTACTATATGACGAATGCCAAAAAATTTACATTATAAAAGCAAGCAACTCAAACAGATCAAAAGAATGGCTCGCATAATTCTTTTAAGCTTCTATGAATCACAAATAAATTTGTAGAAAATCGTATTTAAAGATATGGCATTGCATACAATCAGCTGAAAATTGTATCAAAATGAAATTTGTTCGCGAGTCGAAGTGAAATTTATCGCAAAGTTCTTATCGCATGTCATGAGAATTGTTAATTATAATATTGTAAACTACTATTAACAGTGATTAATCAGAAAATATATCGGCTACGCATTAGGAATGTTCGGGAATTAGAATTGTTATTGTTAATGCAAACAAATTTTGTATGACATGGTATTTTTTAAATCGATTTGAAAATTAAAATATTTAATATTATTATCTTGTGACTATAAGTCTCAAGCATGTAGCGCTTGGATCAATAAATATATTAAAAATAGAAAAATATATAAATAAAGAAAATAAAAATAATAATAGTAATAAATAAAATATAATAACATATTTTTAAATTAAAGCTCGAGGGCTCTAGCTGCTATTATTTTTTTAAGCCGACCGTTTATTTTTGATCAGATTCTGTACTATATTTTAGTCATTACTTCATTATATATATTTTTTTTGTTGCAGGAAACAATGCTAACAAATGTAGCGTTTTGTTACGATAAATCTTCTAAATGTTGTCATTAGTGAATCACGCAACAGAATTTATTTGATGAAAGCTCAAACATGATTCCCTAACGAGCTGTAAACAAATCAGTGGCACATGCAAATAATTTAAGCACGATTCCATTATTATATTTATTGCATATACACTAGTAGGCAAAAGTATTTTGACGAAATGTATTTATGGCTATCATTATAATAAATATCAAATTAAAGAACTAATTCACCAACTGTAAATATGCCAAATTGTTTTGACTTTTCTTTCTGCTGATTATAATTTCGCATTGATCTGCTTGTCAAAGTACTTTTGCCTGCTAGTGTGATGTGTGATTATCTCAGGTTTTTTGCAATCTTATCCCTCGCTCTAAACCAAAACATTAAAGTGCCTTAGCACTTAGCTTGGAAACTTGGACGCTTATCTGTTTTAAATGTCAAGTGAAATTAAATGAAATGTGGGCCAAAGACACCACTTGTAATTAATAATCCATTTGTTGGCAAATATTTTATTCAATTTTGGTATTGAACTTTGTGAATCATGTATATTTATCAGTTACGGACATGTTATCAGTTAACATTTAGCATTTAATTCAGTCGGGAAAAAAATCAATTAAATACCTTTGCATTAACATTGTGTGTTTTGCCTTTGAAGTTAAGCGGGACCATTATAATTATGGGCCGGTTGTTTTATTTTTTATAGATAAGTAACACTCATAACACATAGATAGGCGAAAACTCTATCAGAGAAATTGATTAAAACTGAAATTTGTTTTGCAAAATAGAGAAATCAATTTTTGGAGAACTTATACATTTCCTAACTTGTTGATATAAATATTTTACAGATACAAATTGCAAATGCTTCAAGTATATTTTCCTCTCTTCCACTCTTTAAAAAAATGAAAATTTTGAACAAATTTTTAAGTTTGTCAATAAATATAAAAGGGGGATATTTATTTTTATACGCATTCTTAATCTTTTGCTTTTTTGTTTCTAAACTTTTCAGTTGTATTTCTTTTAATTTTTGAAATTTATTTTTATCTTGTACATTTTTTAATCCTTTTAATATATATCTTTTATTGAAAAACAAAAAAGTAGTGAAGAGTCACTTGAACTTCTGAATAAACTTGACCCGCTTAACATATTCATAGCTGACCTTTTGGACATACACGCAACCCATTAAATGCCCTCTAAAACCGACGTAATATTTACTCACGAAATGTTTAAGAATTTAATCAATGTTAGTTGACAAATGCGTGCGTATTTAGAAGAACACAAAAATAAATGGTATTATACGCTTTGAATTACAAATTTCGATTTGTTAGAGAATCTTCTTTTATTTTAATATCTGCTTAAAAGGCTTTCGAATATATACATTTTAGAAATCCTATTAAATCTATATTTAAAGAGATTATTAAACAATTATCTGACGTACGCAAAAAATCTAATTATAATTATTCTCAAATTAGAATCAAATACGCAAATGTAGAAAGTGTTAAATTGAATGTATGTCGAGCTTAAAGCAGGAAGGCATGACTATGTATGCCTCTTGCTCTCACCTACAGCGCTGCAATGCAAAACAGAATTACAAATAAACAATAGACTCACTCATAAATAAAACGTCACCCGCTCGGAGTCGCAGTAAGAAAACGAAGAGAAAGAGTGAGAGAGAGAGAGAGAGAGGGAAAGAGAGAGTGAGAAGAAATACACACACACCGACACGCACATTACGCCAAGCACCGTTATCAGAACACAGCTGGGGCCGCAACAATAACACCGCATAGGAATGTAAGCACATACATTGATACATACATATTCTCTTCTGGTTTTGCCTACGCATTGTCTGCTTCAATTCCAATACTTAATGAAAGCAGCTGTGTACGGTTTTTTTTTAGGTTCATGCGTACCTATTCCTATGTTTACGGCGTTTAGAATGCCGGCAGTTGATTGTTACTCAAATTATGTAAATTACCTTGTACATATTTTATATATCCGTTTATCCATGAAATTATAGGTGCACATACGTACATAAATTGCAGTTACGTTTTTGGTCTTGTTTGGAAATCTTGAAAATTCGATTTGCAGTGCAATTTCTCACTACTCGACACACACACACACTCACACATGCACACGCGAAGCTCGACACATGCAAGCAAACTGCAGGGCAGTAATAACGGCTGTTTTCGAACAATTGTGTGCGCCGTCTAATTGCAGGTGCAGTTACGCAACACTATTCTCTTAATACTAGTGCAACATTATCAGAAATTTACAAACGTTAATCTAGAACTGCACAATAAGAAAAAAACCAAGTGCTTGTGGTGGCGAAGCACAGCAACGTGACCCTCCCACCGAAAAAGCTAACAGAATACTAAAATAATGTGTACACCAGTGTGACCAGTCGTCGCCAGCGAGCTAATACCACAAAAAGTTAACAAAGAATACTTTAAATTCGATTAACGCATAAAGTACTGTCCGTTAATAAAATACCTGAAAAAGAGTGCATTTGTAATATGTCAAATCTAAAAAATAGTATCCAAAAAATAGTATACACAACATTCACACAGTTTCAATCATGTTATTCTAAAATATTGTTATAAAATTAATGTTTTTTTTTGGCGCCTTAATATGAGTAAGTAACATTTGCCAAACACTAACTAACAGTGTTTTCTTATACCACCCCTGAGGCAGGTACTCCCTGTGAGAAGTGTAAAACTTGTCCTTGTCGGCCAAAACAGGAAACTCCGCCACCTTCCAAGAGTCCAACACAGCGACAATCCCTGCCAGAGCAACAACAGCAAACCACTTTGTATCGCCTGACTGAACAACCAACATTATCACCTCAACATCAAGAACAGCAGCGAGCGTATTTGCATCGCGGAACTGAACAATCAACAATATCATCCAACCGACCACAAGAACAGCAGCGATTGTATTCGTATCGCGGAACTGAACAAGCGTTCCCCCAAGATCAAGAACAACTGCGATCATATTCATATCGCGGGGCTGATCGACCATCAGCATCCAGCGAACAACAGAAACAACAGCGATCAACTTCGTATCGCGGGGCTGAACAATCGTCCATAGCATCCACCCGACAATACGAACCACATCGATCTAGTTCGTGTCGCGCAACTCAACAAGCAATACCATACAGCCGACAAGAAGAACAACAGCGATCATATTCGTATCGTGCAACTGAACAATCTGTAGTAGCCCCCCAAACAAAAGAACTACATCGAACAAATTCGAATTGCTCGTGTGAATTAGAAATAGTAACCTCCCGACAACCACAGGAATCACATCGAACAAGAATATCATCCACCCAACAAGAACCACATCGAACAAGTTCGTGTAGAACGACACAATCAATACCATCCACTCGACAACAAGAAGAACACCTATCAAATTCGTTTGGCTCGAGTGAACCAGAAATATCAAGCACTCGACAACAAGATCACCATAAATCAAGATCGTGTCGAGCGACTCAACAACGAATCGCATCCACCCAACAACACGAAGAACAGCTATCAAATTCGTATGGCTCAAGTGAACTAGAAATAGAACCAACTCGATCAAATTCGTATCGAGCAACTCAACAAATACCATCCACCCGACAACAAGAACAACAGCGTTCATATTCGTATCGACCGACTGAGCATTCAACGGCATCCCCTCAAGATCAAGAAAAACAACGATCATATTCGAATCGAGCGACTGAACAAGAGCAGGAGCAACAGCGATTAAAGTCATATCGAGCAACTGAACAATCGGTAGCATCTATTCGACAACAAGACCAACAACGGTCACAAGAACAGCAGCGATTGTATTCGCATCGAGGAACTGAACAATCAGTAGCATCCCCACAACAACAGCGATCACATTCACATCCTGCGACTGATCAGGCGATAGCATCCCCACAACAACAACAGGAATACGAACTCCTTGCTCGTTTAAATAGTGCGCCTCAGCAACAAGTAGAATCCCCCCGAGGAACGGATCGACAGCCAACTTCGCATCGAGCGACTGAGAGTGCAATGGGTTCTCCCCGACGACGCGAGTCACAGCAACCAACCACGCGTACCGCGCCTGATCAAGTAATGCCTCGACGAACGGAACCACAGCCAACGACTTCGTATTATGCCAATGAGCAAGTGATCTCACCCCAACAACACCAGCAGCAACCGCAACAGCAATCGCAATCGCAACAGCAACCGCAACAGCAACAGGTCACATGTGATCAGCATGTATGTGAGCCGCGAGGGGGGCAGGCAGCTCAACCGGTGCAGGCAACACAGATGCAAGGTAGACCGCGCGTCGACTGTCTCTGTGCAGGTAATCGAGCTAATCGCGGCCAAAAGAATCAATCACCATTCCAGGCGCCACTGGCCGATACCTACACATGTTCGCGTCCACGAGCCGAGCCATCGCGACGAGTCACCCCCGTGGAGGAGCTGTGCACCTGCAAGGCAAAATCTGCGCCGCCGCAGTGCGAATGTGCGCCACCAGTTGTGCAGGAACAGCCACGTGCACCGCCAACACATGCGCACATCACATGCGGCCAGCCAACGCAATATATGAGGGCTCAATATACCAATCAAAATCCACGCACCAAACAACCGGCCATGTGTGGACATTGTCAATCCACAAACAAGAAGAAAAAGTGCATTATACAATGAGAGCAAAAAAAAAAATATATATATATATTGTATATATATTGATATACAGGGAGTATCACAGGGAGTGCGCTGGCAAAACAACATCGAGTATTTTAAAAATATCTTAATTATATTTGGCATAAATCATATAAGTACATCAGACACCTTCTTGGGGTTGGCAAAGGCGTATCACAAATAAGACGAATCTTGTAATAAACCAAAGATTGAGCATAGTTGGACAGGCATCGCAGGGACTGTGTCCGCAAATGAGCACATTATTATTTTAAAATATATCAAAATTTGCATTATGAACATTAAAAATAACAATAAAAAACGAAATCCCAACAAACAAAATGAGGAAAATCATTTAAAACATGAAAAAATCACAGTAGGCGTCGCAGGGACTGACTGTATCCTAAAATACGTGAAAATAAAATTATATACATTTTGGCATACATTAAAAAATAAATATATCAATAATTAAATGTAATTGGCAGCGCTGCATCCGCCAAGATGACCAATCACTCGCAACCCGCTGCTGGCTGTTATTGCCCGCCAAGCAGCACAAATGTGGCAATCGAGCCAGTTGGGCAAGTGCCATGTGGCGGTGCACAGGGTCAAAATGGTGAGATGCGTTATGGGCCACCACCACCGCCACCTGTGTACAGGAGACCTCCAAATCAAAGAATGTGTAATCATTGCAAGCGCAAGGGCAAGAAGAGGTGCAGCATTCAATGAGCGACGGTTACACAAATCAACTCAACATAAGCAATCTCAGCTGGCATTTCAAAATTTCAGTATTTAAAAAATCATTTCGAAAATTTAGACTTCAATTACATACCCTAAAGCATTAAGGATGTCCTCGCCAAAGAAAGGAGCTAAAGGACCTCGTCCAGAGTGCCTTTGCACACCAGTACAACAACGGCAACAGCAACAACAGCAGCAGCAGCAGGCGCCAACTGTGCAGCAAGAGGCAGCCAATCAGAATTGCGTTTGTACTCCATTGCCACAAGAACAACCGCAACAGGTTATAGCAGTGCAGCGAGAGATCATACGAATTCCCTGCGATTCTGGACCAGCTAACAGCCAACAGCAACCGCAAGAACAACGGGTTACAACTACTCAGCCGGAGACCACACAAATTACCTGTGGTCCTGGGCCAGATGCAGCTGCCAATCAGAAATACGGTTGCACTCGATTGCAACAACAGCAGCAGCAAGTGCAACAACAACAGGCTAGAGCCGTGCAGCAAGAGACAGCCAATCAGAATTGCGTTTGCTCTCCATTGCCACAACAGCAACAACAACAGCAAGAGATCATGCGAGCTCCCTGTGATAACGGATCAGCTGCGGCAGCCAATCAGAATTACGGCTGTTGTCGTCAGCAGAGAAAATCAAAATGCAGCATACAATAATGATGTTATCGAAAAGTTAGCAAAGCAGACGATGCAATTGAAGGCGATAATTATACATGGAAACTGATCACTGAATTGTTATCGAAATCGAAACGGTATCATCGCAGGCTGCAATCGATAATAAAACCAAGCAGGCATCATAAATTGGGGAAAATGTTCAATAAATTGGGTATCTTCCGAAATGTTGACAGCAAAAATTATAGTTTTTTTTTTTTTGAAGCGCCCGCAAATCACACAAACCAGGGGCAATGGGCATAGCGCCCTCTCTTCCAAAGCGCGGTTGTCCCTGTCCACGGCGATGTCACCCAGAATGTGACATCCGGCACGGAGCATATCGCAGCCGACACGGTTTCATCTATCGGACTCCGGCACTGGCTAAATGCCAACCCCGATGTGGCCGCTCAAATACTGAAGTCGTCTGCCGTCCAGCGGGACGAACTCCACTTCGTCAGGTGTGTTTGTCATTTATATTTATGATTTTAAACCTTTCGATTTTTGAGGCCACAATCGTGCATTATTATCGATGATCGATAGCAATTTAAATTAAAATATTCATAACGTTTTATTAATTTAACAAGGTGCCGAGATACTCGAATACGGATATTGACTACTGCTGCTGTCCAACTCCAGCTCCATCAGCTCCACCAGTACGACAAATGCGCTCATCGAGCTCAATCAATTGCTGTTTTCGGCCACCAGAGTCGAAGAAACCACATAGCTGCAGAATAAATGAGTGCCAAGGAGCGCGTTACGGTCCAATGAGACAGTTGCCACCAGTCGCTCTTCCTCTACCATCGCGTTGGACTCCACCATCTCAGAATCTATCCAGTGTTCCGATTCCCGATGAGATACCCGATGAGCCATGCGATCCCTACTATAATTACGATCGCAATCAGCCTCAAGCGGTGAACACGTTGGCTAATTTCGATCTCAATCGATTCGATCGAGATAGCGCCGGACATGCTCGCCGCAGAAATGTTAGCATACGGTCATACGTCGACTATGATTATGATGCGGGAAATCATGTTAACACGCACCCTCCTTTTGCACAGGACTCACTGATGCCAGCCCATCTCATTCCATGTCCTTACCAGAACCAACCTGCTCAACGTAATCTATATCCTTCACACCAATTGGATCACATGCCGCATTCCTCACGACAGAATGATTTCAGTTATATTCCACATGCCTTCCGTCGATAGACCAATTTTAGATTTCGATAATAATAAAAAAATACCAAGTAATCAAAAAATACCGCAACGCGTTGGTGCAATCTATCGGATGACTATCGACCAACCGCCATTTAAGGGAACAACAAGGCAAAAAGCACGCAGCGTGCATGGTACCTGAATTTGTAAAATCTGCAAATAGTTGAGAAAACAAATAACTAAATGGATGAGGGAGACTATGATAATGATGAGTGAGTATTTAACTCTTGCATGTAAGCATATTGTCTGAAATTATCTGATTAATATAAATTTCCACACTTCAGCGTCGGCAATGATGATTTTGACGATGCCGACGAGGACGTGGACGAGGACATTGCTCAAGAGGAGGAAGTCGATAATATTGAGATAATTGCACCCGGCGGCACAGCTGGTGGCGGTGTGCCCAAATCGAAACGTATCACAACCAAATATATGACGAAATACGAGCGTGCCCGTGTTCTGGGCACACGGGCTTTACAGATTGCGATGTGTGCACCGATTATGGTTGAACTGGATGGCGAAACGGATCCGCTGCAGATAGCCATGAAGGAGCTCAAGCAAAAGAAAATACCAATAATCATCAGACGCTATCTGCCCGATCATTCCTATGAGGATTGGAGCATAGACGAGCTGGTCATGGTGGATAATTGAACTCGTCGTGGATAGATATATAATGATAGCTTCTAGAAATTTATAACTTTCGACAATTAAATAATGTACTATAAGATTACAATTTTAACTGTATGTAGGATCGGAGATGTCTCCTTAAATATTATTGTAATAACAAATTGTACTATGATAAAGATCAGCTCCAGGCATATCCCTCGCCACGCTGATAACAGATGCGCTCCAGCAGTCCAACGGCATGTGGACCTGTCTTACAGATGGCGCCCACTACATTGGGCAGCAGACCACACTCGGACAGATTCTGTTCGCCAAACACCTGGCCGGAACCAAGTTGATCCTCATCCGCTACCTTCGCTGGTTCCGATTCCAGCAGCTTTTGTGTAGCCTTGCTAAATGAGAGGGTATTGCTGCTGCTAGCCAATGTGGCGCTAAATGTTTCGCGCGTCTCACAGAGCAACATTGCGACGCTGGGCAGGAATGTGGGCAGCAGGAGTCCTTTGATATCGATGCTATAATAATTGATGCCATCCAGACGCACCTTCTTCGAACGTGGCACTAAATGCTGCATGGTCGCCTTGGGAAAGGCAACGGGTGCGATGAGCGTGGCCGGAACACCGGCCAGGCGGCCAACGCTGGTGATGGTGCTCTTCGCATTCAGTAGATAGCTAAAGAATCCTTGGCACTCGACGCCCTCAATGAGCAGCAGTGAATTATCACTGAAATCCTCGCGCATTTCAGCTGCCTGCTGACGGCGCGCATGGCTGCTTTGAATCCTTCGCAGTTCGCGCTCATCCACACCCAAACTCTCCAGCCACTCGTCATCGTCCTCATCATCATCATCAGCCTGCTCCTGCTCCACCTCTTGCTCCACTTGTTTCTCATTGACATCAGTCTCCTCGTTGAGGCTGCTATTTGGCTCACCAGTTGCATCTCTTTTCAGTGGCATGCTGTACTCGATGCCCTCCTGTCGCAGAGCATTCCGCATGCCCCGTGTCGATGGTGTGACGAGAGCATGCGTCTCGACACGTCCACCGCTTCCTGCTGCTCGAAAGAGGACTGTAAATGTGTTGGCACACAAATAGAAATACGGACACTGTCGGGCACGCAGCAGCTGGAAGAGACCACGAAAACTGTAATCCCATTCCTCGGCCAAGGCTTTGCGCTCTCGCTCGCCAATTGCGATGCCGTTGTTCTCCTTGGCGCTGCGCGGAAAGAGCGTCAGCCAGGGCAGATGCGGGTGCTGCCAGTAGTAGGTGCACTGATTGAAGCGCGTCGCATCCGATATATCCAAGGTGCTTTCCGTCTGATCGGAGTCAAAGCAACGCACAAAACTCGTTAATCCGCTGGCCAGCTGGGAGGTATTTAACTGCGTCGCCGGCAACTCGGTGGGGCAAAAGAAACGCACTCGCGTTTTCAGACACCAGTCGATAGGCAGATGTCGGGTATGCTTCTGACGTGCCGTCACAGCGGCATCATCTTCTTCATCCTCCTGGTTGACTCTCGCCTGCTGCAACAGCCGGGCAAACGTTTGTGCATCGAATTTCTGCAACACCAGTTTTTCTGGTGTTGTTCTCGTTTTCGCTTTCGCGTCATTTACTAAATTTGCAATCGTTGTTGTTTTAGTTTCGCCAGTGATTGTTTCTTCTTGGACATCGGTTTTCTGTTTCTTGACGCCATCTGTGGATCTGTAGGGGATACATTAGTTTTTGCTGCCAATCAGCTGATTTGACATGAAAGGAAAGCGAAGTTATCTCTTCAGCGTTGTCAACTTCATGTGATTTGGCAATTTTTAAAAGGAGCTACAAATAGTTTGGAACTTAAGCGCATTTCAGCTTTTTTTTTAAAGCTTTTTGTAAAGAATTAGCTACTTTTGACTATGGCTGCCAACACTGATGAGGATAAATTTTTGAGCTTAAGGAACACTTTGCATTGAAATGCAAATGTTGATACTTATTTATTCATACGTCTTCAGTTCCTTATAAACTTATAAAATCGTTTTGTCAGCGTTCTATGAAAAATAAACACTCACTTGGCAAATGGATTCTTGCGCTTTTGGGCAATTTTCGCTTCGAGCAGTTTACTTTTGTCGCTCTCATCTAGTTCGGGTCGCTTATTGTTGTTATTGCTGCTTAAACGTGCCGCTAGCTGCTTCTTCTTTTGCTTCAATCTTTGCAGCTTTATAAACTGTGAATTGTAATATGATTTCGTTAAGTTAAGTCAAATTGTATTTCATGCAGCATTTAATACATCATCGGGCCGTGTCCATTTGGAGCTCAGACTTGTTTCGCTGGACATTATTGGATGAGTTCTAATGACTATATAAACAACAGCATTAGCTAAACAGCATTGCTAAAAGTCCCGCGAAAATTTTTATTTGTGTTATTGTTGTTGTTTTGATGCAATATTGCAAAATCAAAAAAAAAAGTGCCCAAATAATAGATATTTATCGAACTGAACTTATCGATAGCACACAATTTGATGTCCATCTCTAAAATAAAACAACGACCAACAGCTGAAGCTGAAAGCAGCTGCTTTTGCTAACTTCGTTTGTGGAATTTGTTTTTGTTTTTTTTTTTAAATTTCTTTCAAACTAGTAATCGGCTGAAGAAGTTTAAAATTTAATATTTCTTTTTACAAAGCTTTTTCAGCTTATTACTGCTTGCTGTATCGAAATTTTGACGAACTGCGAACGGAGCCCTGAGAAAGACGAGCAAAAGAAGAATCGAAAAGCAAAACAATTTAAAAATCGTTGGCCAATAGAAAGATGGAAAAAGAAAACGGCAGCTTGTATGAAGTTTGTCGTGTGTGCGCCAATAAAATAAAGGACAAGATTCGCCAGCGGCAATTGTTCGCCTCTAAGCGTAGCAAGTTACTAGAAAATCTAAAAATTATAACCGGAGTCGAGGTGAGTCAAATGTTTATTTTGTCAGCGACGATGAAAAAGAAGAAAACAAGGGTAAACGTTTTTAATAGCTATTGTTGTTTGCAGTTGTCGCAGTATGAAGGATTGCCGAATTTTATTTGCCATCGCTGCCACTCTGAGCTAGATTTGGCAATCAAGTTTCGGGAGCGCTGCATTTTCTCGCAAAATTATCTGGAGAATTTGCTGCAAAAGAGCAACAAAGAGATTGTGTTTAATGCAGCGGCTCAAGAGCTCTACGAGGACTTAATCGATGAAGAGCAGCTCGAGTATGTTGATGAAGATGTGCAGGTCGTGGAACGCAACGATGACGTAGACGATGATGTGCCCGATGATGTCAGTGAAATGTTAACGATCGATGAGCTATCCCAATTCGAAGAATTCGTTGATGAGGGCGCTGCTGAGAAACAGTCAAAATCAGAGAAACGACATTTTGTACTGCTACAAGACACTCGACCCGCAAAGCGTTGCCGTAATTTCTTTATCTGTGAAGAATGTGGTGAATTTTTTAAGTGTCAGCCCGATTACAATGAGCATTTAAAGTGTCATGTGGAGTCGAAGGAGGCGAAACAGTTATTCGCATGCGGTCAATGTGGGACGAACTTCAACAGCAGCAGTGCCCTAAGACAGCATCGACAGCAGGAGCATAACGGCCGACGCCTCTTCAAATGCGCCACTTGCGGCGAAACATTCCTGGAGCACAGCGCCAAGCAACGTCACGAGATGTAAGTGGCGGCTAATAACTTAGCATCACATATTCCAAATACTAATCACCATTTTATGCTATTGTAGCGCACACAGGAATGAGCGACCGTATCCTTGCCTGGAGTGCGATATGATATTCGCCAGCGTTTTAGATCTTCGCACACATTCCACTATTCATGCAAATCCCACATTGAGGTAAGCGAAACATTATCGTTTTCATTATCATTCTGAACGTTCTTATCCTTGCAGATGTGAGCTGTGTAATCAGGACTTTGCGACACTCGAGCGCCTGGACGCTCACTCAAAGACATATAAACACAAACTGAGGCTGCAGCAAATGCAGGATGAGCTCAATATGCTGTGTGGCGTCGAGCTAGAAGAAATCGAGATATCCTAATACTTATATACAGTATTAAAGCATATTTAATATTATAATTTATGTATTCAGTTTTAGCGTTTGTAACGCTTTCAACTTGTTTTTATTTTTTATTTAGTGTATTTATTTTACCCGGTGTGATGGAAATCACAATTTCTATTGATCTGCATTTAGAAAAACGAACAAATCTGTGAAAGAGCGTTCTCGTTCATAAACTTTATTTTTAAATATGAACTGGATTTTCATTAATTAGAATTAGTCATTTTATTAGTGTAAAATCGTAAGGGAATTTTATTTTTGTTAATCGAGAACTGGGTCTAATGAATTTTTGTATTTAATTAAAATTTTGAGATTACATAGCAAAAATGTAATATAAGGAAAGGGAAATATGAGCGATTGATTAAAGTTGTGCATATCTTTTTGAAAATAAAAAACTTAAATTGGTTTAAAATATGACGAAAGAAATGTATATATATTATTTATAATTTTTAAATATATGTTACAACAGTAAAGATATTAACAGAAGCTTTGCCTAAAATAACATTAACATCTTAAAGCTTTGTCTAACTGCAAAACAAAACTTGCGCCTGCGCCCTTGTCTGGGTGTACTCATATTCTTATCAACTTGAGTGAGAGCTCGTATATATGCTGTGCCAAATGGAAAATTGGTGTGTATTCGGTGTATTCAACTGGTTGTCAGCACATCACAGCGAGCTAGCGAACGACCAGCGCAATATTGTGAAAATAATTCCAGCTGCTGCAGCTGAAAAATCAATAAAATATATTGAGATAAAACTCCTACGTAAGCAGGCGATAAGAAATGCGCAATATGCTGGTCCAACCTAAGCGAAGTAAGTTGACTACAAACTAGGCGTGTATTATAGATTACTAATTGAAAAGGATTTCAATTTCAATATATTTTGTTTCAGCTTTTGGCATGCTGCTTGGCTGCCTCATGCTGATGTTGGGCTCTACTCGGGCTGAGGGGTACGAGACGAAGGACAGCATTTTTGCCGATGTGCTGCTGACGGAGCTGCTCAATCGCATGGATAACGATATGCAGGTGGGCTACTATGATGTGGACAATGAAGGAGATTTGGCAGCGGCTGCTGCATCGGCAGCCAAGGATAATGTGGATTTGGTTTCGCGCTCGGAATACGCTCGCCTCTGCGATGGCGGCCACGATTGCCTGTTGCAATCGGAAAGCTCAAATCCTTCGCTGCGGGACCAGGAGTTCCTACAGCACAGCTCACTGTGGGGACATCAGTACGTGTCGGGTGGCATGGGCGAGATGCCAAATCGTTACAGTACAATTGTGAAGACCGATGCCAGTTTGCCCGCCTACTGCAATCCACCCAATCCCTGCCCCGAGGGCTACACCTTGGAGCAGCAGCAGGCAGCCGATTGTATTATGGATTTCGAAAATACGGCAAGTTTTTGTCGTGAATTCCAAGCGGCCCAGGAATGCACCTGTGACAGCGAGCATATGTTTGACTGTGCCGATCAGGAGAATGCATCTGGCACTGGAACTGGCGATGGCGATATTAATTCGGCCGTTGAGAAGTTCTTGTTGCATCAGTTTGGCAACGACAATGTCTTGGACAATGACAACGGTGTTGTGAAGAAGGCCGGCCATCTGCCTGGATTACCCAATCCTTTCCTCCAAGTGGGTCCAGGCGATCGTCTGCCCATTGCAGCTAAGAAGGGCAACATGTTGTTCCATTAAATATTTAGCCAATGATGAAATATGGCTTAAGAAAAAAAGAAGAACATTAACCTTTGTGTTTTAGTTTACTAGTTTGGACATTATTGAAGATACTATTTGTCTAACATTAATTATCACAGTCGTTTCTAAATGTTATCCCACATGCGTATATACTAATGGCTCATAGCAGCTTCCAAGAACCCATAGAAATAACGTTATTCCAAATAAACTATGGCTTAAAGCCGAAAAACAAAAGCGAAGATTTTCTTTTGGAAGCAACAGTAAACATATATAAATCGCTGATCAGCGTCCCTAACCAAGTTATGTTGTATGTTTTTATGCAGTGTATTTCAAATCGTTAGCAGATAGTATTTAAGAAAATTGCTGTAAACTTGCACCAATTTCTTATAACGACTTCCTTAAAGTCTGTGAAAAATAAATTTGAAAAAAAAACTTGGTAAAAAAGGTCATAATTTAAAGCAATATTATTCTCGAACATATTTAAAAAAGTTGAATTGACACTCCATCGGTTTTTAAAGAGTGGAAAATAACTAATATTTTCTGTAAGACAGTGTTTTTTTTTATATCCTCCATAAGAAATTGTTTTTATTAACTACCATTTAAAAATTAAAACAATTGAAACAAATAATATTTTTTTAATATTTTTAAATATATGAAAAATCTCATATATACATATGTAAAATGTATCCAAAAAGTTGACAGTATTTGAGTTATTTAGAAACTATTATAGCAAGATTCATGAATGTATATAAATAGGGATTTTTTATTTTTTTTTGCTGCTGCACTTTCAAATCAGCTTTACAATGAGTATTATGTGTCAGCATTCACTGGTATTGTGTTTAGGTCGACAGTCCCACAAAGGGGAACGCCAGCATCACAATTTCTTAAAGCTAACCTAACAATTGATATAGTATGTATATAGTATGAATGTTGCTGTTGCCCATCGGGCTGACAATTCACTATTCGAAACTAACACTGGCAGTGTGATTAGCTAATCATAATATTCGTTGTGTGTTGACAAGGATCCTGCTATGTCCTTTGTACATATATATACAATTTAACAATAAATGTTTGTTTTTTTGACTATAAACTCTAATTTTGATTCTTCTTTCATAAATGTTGTTCGTCCTTTATAAATTGCTAACTTAACAGTAGTCTAAATAGATGCATTAATTGTATGATCATAGGTAGTTTACAAACGTCCCGTGTTATTGCCAGCCACATTTTGACCCCAGGATACCTGATGCGGATTGCGGGTGGTCAAACGTAGGGAGTTACCATCGCCATCCTCATCGATGACATGCTCGTAGCCCTGGTTGATGGTACCGCCGCCATTCGAGCCATAAATTTGCTACAAATAAAGAGTGAATCAATTAACAACATTAAATTATTGGCATGATAAATTAATGTACATTGAAGAAGATATCTCCCAGCCCATAAGGTATGAGTATAAATAATTATTGTTGATCGAAAAGGCAAGATAAGTCGAAATAAATTATCAGGAAGAAGTAGTTGATAAATGTTTTGGTTCTTAATATATACTACCCAAAAATTAATATTATCAGTTACTCGAAATAATTTAAATGTATGGCTGTCTATTAACTAATAAAGAACAGACTTTACTACTGCATTTCGCTATATATAGTTGTCACTCACCTCTCCAGGTCCACCATTTACATTGAATACATCCTTGATGCTGATTCCTGCATTGGAAATGCGTCCGCTTCGCTGATTGGTCACAGCGCCATTGTTATTGACCTGTTTTTCAATGATACAAATTATAATTAATAAGTAAAAGAATAATAATAAGTAGCAATTGAGTGGGTGAATCCTTACCGGCAGCGGCGCTGTGGTTATGCCATACTCATTTTTGGCGCCCAACGTTTGCATTGCCGATTTGCGTCGTTCCGCCATCACGGAGTTCTTCCTGACCTCCAGCGCGCGGATGGTCTCTGCCCGCATGGTCAGGCGACGCGTGAGTATCGGCGTCGCCGGATTGTTTTCCGCATCCGCTGTTAGCTTGAGGAAACGCTTCTTGAACGCCACATCCAAGGTGCCAATTTGACGACGCGGCTGACGGGCTTTCTCCAAGTTTTGTATCGTCTTGCGTCGTGCGATGCGATCGGGTCCCGAACCGGAATCATTATCATAATCCCCATCGATACCCTGCAAGCGTTGCAGGTTCTTAACTATTTCCACCGCGTGCTGTGAATAAATGTTGCAATTACAGTAATGAATTTTGTAATAGTATGTTTAGTCGCTATATATTCACCTTGTCTATTAATTGATCTTGAGTCAAGTCCTCTGATTTCTTTTTGCAGAAATTCAACTCGGTAGAGGCCAGGATGTGTGATAGGGTGCCAAAGCGATGGAACAACATGGCCGTAAATTGTATGACCAAAATTAAGGCAAAGAAGAAGACAAAAACCAAACCAATCGGCTCAAGTTGTAGATACTCCTTGGAAATGTGTACCTGTGCGAAGGTGTTTGAAAACCAATATTAGCAACAAACTTAGAGCGATCTCATTTTTATTTCGTTAGTAACATTTAACAATTGAACGATTTTCCGGAAACGATATTGGGTTTAAGGCAGAACATAGTACCAGTTGTCGGTGATAATGCTATGTTTATGTGTGATTACCATACACAGTAAAAAATGTGGGCTTTGCTATCTAAATAAATATATACAATTATTTTAAGAAATTTGAAGAACTTTAACTAAGTTTGCTTATAGTATTTTTAAGTTTTTATCGAAAAAAAACATATTACTTTCGATTTTGTAATATATTGAAGGAATTATTACTTGTAAGATTTTCTTATTTAAAAATTTTTTCGAATTACAAGATTGAACTAATTAGATTAAGAAAGAAATTAGGCATTCCAATGCCTTGAAAAATTTAAATTAATATTAAAGTTAAAATGAAGACGAACAAAAATAAAATGTAGTTTTATTTTAAAAAGAATATAAAATACAATTCTTGTCGCTTCAAATATAAAGTAAACGATTTTCTAAAAATTGTATTAGTGGCTCAGATATTAAGCAAAAACCCACATTTTATAAGTGTGTAAAAGTGTGTTGTAGATTTATATGCCGGGGAATTGTATGAAGCATGCTTGAAACTGAGCTTAACTCCAGCATGTATAAGTATTTACATACATACAGTTTTCATATTTTCTATGTATTTTGATATTTATATTTGTTTTGGTTTAGGATTTATGGCATTTATGGCTGACAGTTTACCACCGTGTTGAGGATTAACTGTTAGAAACTGCATTTGATGTCATTTGATGTATTTGTTGCAATTGTAATGGTTGCTGCATTGGTACGAGTATGATATGGTATTGTTGTTGTTGTTGTTGTTTTTGTTTTTGGTGATATGCCAGAACCATTAGGATGGGTTTCAATAAACAGGATAAAACAAACAGGAAACTCCTTATAGACATTGGCTACAGAGTACATACATACATACATACATATAAAATCATTAGAAACATTCAATTTTGGGTAAGTAGAGTATGTAACAGTGACTGTGAATTTGTTTGTATGTAAGGATCACTTTAAACGCATAGTGTAAGACAGAGAGATAGAGAGTGAGAAAAGGAGTGGGCAACAGGAAGTTAGAGGTCCCTTGAAAAGATTGAATTTTATTTTATTTTTTTTTTCGTTGTTTAGATAAGATTTACTGGGCGAACACAGAGCAAAACAGTTTTAGGATAGTAGTAACAAAAAATAGTTGGTGATTAGAAATTTGTATTTGAATTATTTCATATACACCTCAGATGTCTCTTCGATATACGTAATGTTCGTTTTGACGCCCAACGGCCAAATAATATGCAATTTATCCTTATTCAATTGCAACAAGAAGACAATCAATACGAATAAGGCGTTGGCCATGAAAAACGCAAACACCGACTTATTGCGCAGCTCAATCAGATCGGAGGCTATGCGTGCCTAAACTCCTCGATCACGATTTGAACGATACATATATTTATATATATATATATATGTTTATATATATATATATACAAAAAAAAGAGAGAGAACAAAAAAAGAAAATGTGTTAGTGTTGTTTGTTAAACTGTAAAATTACCTCCTGGGTGGACTCGTCATAAGTGATATTCGTGCGCACGCCAAAGGGCCACTTGACGTGAATGTTATCCTTGTTCAACTGCAGCAGGAACACGATCAGCACGAACAGAGCGTTGATCATGAAGAACGCAAAGACCGACGAGTCGCGCAGCTCTTTAAGATCTTTTGCTATACGGGCCTACAAATATTTCATCGCCAGGCGGTTGGAGAAGATTAAAAATGACCCTAACCTATTTATAATCTGATCTTCAATATAAAAGGACAGCTAATATAAAGCTCATAATTTTGAATGGGATTCCGAATTGTAAAGCGAAATTTATAGCTATTTAAGTCTCACCTGCTCCACGGGATCATTGTCGATGGGATACAAGTACTGATCGATCAGATCCTTCCAGAATTGTATTTCCGAACTGGACAAAAAGTCCACCTCACCCTTGCGGACATCGGGATCCTCAATCCAATAGGGATTCGTTAGGAAGTCGCGTTCCTGTTTCGGTTCCGCAGACGTATCCGAATCCGACTCGTCTGATTCATCGCCTGATTTTTCCGCTACCGATGTGAGCAAATGATGATCCTTCGATCCACCCGAAGTAGTACGGCGTCGATTGTGACGCGAGGCATGATGACCATGTGGATCCACAGCACTCTCAATCGTATCAATGCGCTGTTTAATCGTATCCAACGAATCGGCAATTGTAGTCAGCTGCTGTTTCTCATCTGATGTCTTGCCATGGGTGCAGAATACACAACGGAATAAGCCCGCCAGCGAGAACTCAATGGAACCCTCCTCATCATCGTTGTCACCGATGCCACTTTGCAGGAAACCCAACATGCTCTTCTGCTTCACACGCTTCTTGTTCTCCTCGGCTGCCTTCTTTTCCGCCTCCAATTCCTTCTTGGTTTTCTTGGCCACCACCTCGCGAGTGCCCCAGGAGACAACGTTCAGATTGATAATCGAATAGAGGATGAGCAGCAGATACATAGAGGGTATGGACAGCAAATAGATTAAGCCGCATGTTATGCACCAAAATTCTTGCGGATGCAAACATGCGGCTATAAAGAATGAGCCCACCATCGATATCAAAAAGATGGCCGATGGCGATCCGACACCGTCCTCACCCAACTGCAAAGCTGTACCCACAATGACAGCCATCATAATCAGTGCATAGCACGTGGATAGCACCTGGGCAACAAACAGTTGTATATTCGATTTACAGGTGAAACAGATGACCATAAATCCCAATATTGGCACAATATTATAGTGAAACGATGTCCAATTGTCGATGCGAAAGGCGGCCACAAAAGCGCCCACCAACATAAGAAAGATTGTGCCTGGTCCCAAAATGGTGCCACCCATCAACATCATCTGATAGAAAACATATAGCAACGATATGTTATCATTGATCTTAATCGTTCGCTTCGCATCACCCAAGAGATCCATGATGTTTGCTATGGTCGATGGCACCCAGCGACGTCGCTGATTGTAGAACTCATTGAAGCCCTCCGGGCAGTGAGTGTAGGCATCCGAGGCAGCTGAATACTCCACTCGATAGCCACGTTGCAGCAGCAGGGTGCAGAGCCAACGATCCTCACCTTGATCGTACTGGACATAATGACGGGCCTCGGTCGGTTTCGTTGTATACTTCTTCATCACATTGTCATCCATCAGTGCCTTGCCACGGAACAGTGAGAAGCATCCCGGTGAACACAAGACACATCCAATCATATGCTCGGTGGCCTTCTGCAGCCAATGACCAATAGCATACTCAAAGAGCTGATACCACACCATTGGCCCAGAGCCAACGGGATGAATGCGTCCGCAGGCTGCACCCAGATTGCGATTCTTCTTCATTAAATCCACGAGTAGAGTGACTGCATTCGGCTTGAAATCAATATCACCATCCAGTGTAAGCAAATAGGTATTCTCTGCAATCGCATCCTTGCGATCCACCGAAATGGGCAATTCCATCAGACGATGTCCCAGCAGATAGTACATATACATGACCTGGGACCAACGCTTGCGATGACGTATCCGATCCTTATCCTTCAGATGTGCTATAAACTTGGTCTTACCAGGCAGCGTCCACATCAATCGACCGCCATAGGGTGTTGGGTATTTTTTGGGTGGCCTCAGTCGTATCGTTGTCTGATGAATCTCAGAGGCTGCCTCATCCATGGTGGCAATCAGGAGTTTAACGAAACGATTGCATTGAATATCATCATCACTGTGATCCGATATCTCAAAGGCATCATCGAAAAATATGTGTGCTGTACGAATACGTTTCAATGATTATTTAATTTAATAGGGGAGATATGTTCACCTACTTTCAAATTCATAGTAATCCGGATCGAGGACACGCAAATACTTTTGTGCCACACGCCGGGCACACTGATCCTCGTCCATGCGCATAATGCTCTTTAAGAACTCGATCATTTCATCTTTGGTTTCATGCCACATGGTGGCGCAAGTGTAGATCCGAGTTATATTATCCGATGATTTAATCGAGGGCTTATTTGGCGCCGAGGAACGATCCGTGTGCACGGAGATCGTCTCATAATACTCATCGCCCTTTTCCTTTTCGATCTCCGAAAGATCCTACAAATGAATAAGGAGTTGAAAGTTGAAAACGCAAAAAATATCAAACATTTTCATTCTTATGAAAAGTTTACCATACAAAATATATACCAATTATTTTGGGCCCCGAGATCCATGGCATTTTTTTGTGGTTTCATTAAAAGTAAAAATTTTGCTTACTTCCGTTTTGACATCCGCCTGGTCATCGCGTCTTCTATTCAGTGCCATGGACTGATCGATGAGTAGAGCTGAATACATGGGCCTCACAAAGATTTTCTCTGTGGTCGCCAATCTCTCGCATTTTGGTGTCCAAATGTGCAACGCTATCCACGTCTGACTCAATAGCCACAATATCCAGGCCCAGGCCATTTGTTCCGTAACAAAGTTATTAAATCGAAAATTGGATGGACTGGCAAAGAAGAGATAGTCCGGTATGGTGTCGTGGAAGAAGCATGGATCATCAATGCGTATGCCGCAGGCCGAGATCAGCAAGGAGACGGCAATTGGAACGGTTAGACTGACGGGAAAAGCATAACTGAAACCCTGAATTAAAATCTTGCATGCAAACTTGCCAAATATATAGCAAAAATAGGCGCCAAAGATCTGCAGGAGCAAAACATAAACGACAGTATTATAGCTAGCATCCAAATCAACTGTATCAATGTTAGCCGATTCCAAAGTATCAGGTAGTACGCCACCCAAACTCGCCGGCAGCTCATAGACAATGATCTTATGCGGACCGAAGGCATCGCCATAGAGGCTAAATAGATTGCTCGGCTCCTCGCCGTAGGCCCAATAGATGAGCAGTGTGACGCAGAAGAACAACAGGATCTTCCAAATCGACAGGAACATGCAGCAAAAGTAGCGAGTATTATGCAACTCCTCCTTGATGCGACCCAACGAGCGCACCAGTCCCAATGACGATTGGGATGACACATAGTTCTCCCACCAGCCACAGGAGATCATCACACAGGCAACGGGTATGACCCAGAGTTCGCGACGATTCTCCAACAGCGGCCAGATGACGAGACCAGTTACCTGTGCTGCTACCGCAGCCAGATCAATGATGATCTTAATGAATCGTTTGCCCTCCTTCGAGGTGCGCGAGAGCAGCCCAAAGATGCCGGGTATGACGCACAGGCAATTGGTTAACATGGCGCCCTGTATGGCATCGATCTGAGGCAGCACCACAAACATCAGTAGGGCTGTGCCCAAGGCGCTCATGCTCTCCATCAGCCAGACGAACAGAAAGTGTCCTGTCTTTGGCACCTTGAACGTCTTGAAGAAACAGATGCGCGCCGCTCTGATGAGCGTTCCAAACTCGGGCAATGAATATGCTATCACCAGTGCCCAGATCCAGGCAATGCGCTCCTCCTCGGGTAAAACGACCACAAAACTCTTGTCGCGACCCTATAATTGAGTTATAACAATTAATCCAACTGCGTGTTCATCAAACTTCAAGGTTTGCTTACCAGATCTTTGTTGCAATATTCTATTCTGCGATCCTTGCGCAATTGCGAGGTCATAAATAGTACTGTGCCCTTGGCAATAACACCACCAGTTAAAACTATTATGAATGTGAAGATGTAGGCGAAGATTTTCAAAATCTTAATGGTTAGCTCGAGACACGCCTGATTTGCCGTCGAACCGGTCTCGATTTTAATCGGCGGATCACGAAACACATCCCAGCCTTTTGTTTCCTGTATTGTGCGTTGGCTATCAATTAAAATGAATTAGAATTGTATTTTCGAATTCTTAAGAATTGTTTTAAACGAAAGAATAAGTATCTTTGGGCTGCACGATATTCAAATATGAGATATATTTCTACGCTTGGACATACGCTATTAGTACTGAAACGTAGACTGATGATGATCAATGACAGCCATTTAATATATTGAACCAATATTGGAAAGTTTCTGCTAAAGTGATAAAAACATAATTAAACTGTGTCTTACAAAAGTTTTATACTGATCATATAATAAATGTTGATAATTTTGTGTCAAACCCGTGAGGATATCTTGAAAAACAATTAAAGTACAACTATGGCATGTATATTATAAATAAATTGGGTTAATCGGAAAATGGTGACCTTTTTTATACTTTAAACATGTATTTTATTTGTACACTTTAAATATTTGAAATTATTAAATATTTAAATAATTTCAACTTTCCAAAGTCGTGAAAAATATAAACATTGAGTCAACAAATGTTTGGTACGATAAAAAGTATTATTGTACTTTTTTGCAATTTTGACCTAGACCTAAAAAGGCAGAATTTCTATAAACTGAATGTTTAATATTGAATTTTGCTGAACGAACAAGTCGTTTGCTCTTAGTTTCCGGTATTTTAACCATACAGCTGAGAGTAATTGCCATTGAAAATGATTGTCTCAAGATCTGGGTGTAGCCAGACAACTAACACAGCTGTGGGAATGGCAATTGACTTTTGTTTCTTGTATTGAGTAGATATTTAGTTCCGGCTTCTCGTTCAATGAAACAGATTATTTTTTCTTCTCTTTTCTTTTTGGGCTTGCATTAATGATAGACCCTCAGAAACTGGCAGCAAATTGAACAAAATTTGCATATACTATGATAGATACTTCATCAAATACTAGGCAAGACTTACCTGCCACCATAAATATCGTGTGTCAGCGGTGAGCTCTCGTCGTCGGTGAAGTTGTTGTCATCGCTATCGCCATGCTCCCCAGCAGCGGCTGGTGGTGCCATCGGGCGATGCCGCACCGCAGACATCTCCCACGGTTGCTGTTGCTGGCGTTTGGGGCCTGCTCAATCTTGGAATGTGCAAATCTTGACTGCAATGTAACCAAGAAGTGGAAATTAATTGTGCGCCATGTTGATAAGCCTGTTTTCAATATGTACGCGCCACATATGCACTTTTGGCCAGCTCTGTTCAAGCCAGCTTGATTCAAGGACGTGCGGCCTTTGACCAGCTACAATCCAACCGGTTGCATTTCGCTCGGCGACCAGCATAAAACATTGAAAGTAACTTAAGCAGCGAGATAATCGCACATCGTTCGTTATTAGTCAGTCATGAGTCCCTAAACTAATTTTACATGCGAATGCAGAAAAACTATTTACTTTCCAACATTTTAGCTAGCTTACAATTAACAAAAAAATTATTAATAAAAAAATCGTAATAAATGTGGTGTATTTTATGGTATATAAGAAAATATGTTTAGTTTTCCACATTAAATATATACAACGATTTTCTGGTTTTTATCGCTTTTCAAAACTTTTATTGCATTGTCTTCTAAATATCTGATGATAAATACTATCGAATTGAGCTTCCTTATAACAAATTAAAAAGGTCATGGAAAAATAAAAGTTAATCTTGAGTCACTTTGTCGTCACTTTAAGAATGGCCTTACTTAAGAATATTTAAAAGTTGCTGGGAATCAAAGAAAAACAGTAACAACTAGAAAAATACGATCTATGCAAGATGCAGACACATCTTCCGTCAAATATTTGTATCGGATACGCCTCAGTTCCTCCACTTTTGGCACGGAACTAAAGCTGTTGCCTGTTTTGGTTTTATGGTAATTACGAACACATTGTGTGTTGCATATACAAATACATATACTATAACTCGTACGCACACAGACACATAGACTAAAAGCTTTGGTCGCATTGTTTTGTCTGCAGACCTTGTGCTACATTGGACTTCAATTAAAATTGTAGAAGCGCCGCATAATGTGAGGAAATTAATAGGCATGGACTCTTAGATAGACCAGCAAGAAGAAAGAAGGTGTTAGTAAAACTGTAAACAGTTTTATAAGTAATCATAATTTAATAGAATATACCCTTTTCTGATGCAAGTAAAATGAGTTTTCTTAGCTAATATAATAAGAAGCTGAAGATCAATTTTTAGAAGATTGTATAGTATCAGTTTTAGTTAAGATTGTATAGTACCAGTGAGTTCTACACCTAATTAGGGTCGGTTATCGAAAGGAGGTACTTGAAATTCTAATGGAAGAAAATTCAAATAATAATAGTAAAGAATATAATACTTGTTGCTTTGTTTCTATAAATGTATAATAAGTAAAATTAATTTTAAAAATATAAATAAAAATAAATCATAATTTTTGAATTTGAGTATTTTTAGCATATTTTTTGTCAGTTAAAATGTAAATTGGTAGATTTCTAGTTCCAAACAGCTGTTTGGCACAAAAGGTCAAAGGATGCTGTTGACAGCCTGGAGCCTGCGCAGAAGACAACCGACTTGTTGTAATCACAAAAAAACAGCGTCATATGGATTACAACCCCAAAGCAAAACTTGCAGCTGCTGCTGCTATGAACGCAGCCACCCTCAAACGCAACGTGAAGTGCCTTGTGCGAGAGTAGGGGTGAATAATAGTGTGTGTGTATGTATGTGTGCGTGTGTGTCTATGTGTGTGTGAGTGTGCGTATTTTGCGGATGCTCTTCACTGATTAGGAACGTTCTGCGCGCCTCTTTCGCTGCTTATATAGCTGCGACTAACGGCGCTTTACAACAGGACCGTGTGGCCTAATGGATAAGGCGTCGGACTTCGAATCCGAAGATTGCAGGTTCGAGTCCTGTCACGGTCGAAGATTTGTATTTTTTTTTCTAAATTGCACGCATGTGATTTCATCAATTTCTGTTATGTATTTTTAATATATTTGCTAATTCCATATGAATTGATTTTTTTTGTTGTTAAGAAATATTATTATTTTTTGCATTTTTGTTGTTGTTTTTTCTCACATAGAAATGTGAAATGTGAGCTTTCTTTCATAGTTCGTGTTGTACGGCATATGAAATCTATATTTTGTATTAGAAATATATATTTAAGCCCCTCCGCATAATAATTTACATAAATAATACTTTTAGGCATACACACATATAAATTAAGCACAATATTTAGCCATAATTTTTGAGATAAATATATGTTTATTGTTTGGTGACCTTTTTTGAAAATTTAAATGTTTAATCAAATTGTATTCGGTATTATCGTTAAGCCTACACTAATTGTATGTATATTATATGCTAAGTGGTATTAAGCAAGACCCATTTCTATGTAGGGCATTCCATAGTCGCTGATTTTTGACTAGATCTTGCTCGTTGTGTCTTCTTCATTATGATTTGTCACTGAGCTTGATTTCTTGCAGCGTATATATTACTTCTTATTCTAAATGTCAAACGGTCATCTCCTACTAAGACTAAGACTATGTGCCAAGTGCTTGAATACTAAGTCGTAAAAACTCAGTCAGTCGACTGGACAGGCTCCAAGCAACAAAGCTGCATACACTAGTTGGTCGTTGGAATGGTTTAGCAACGTGAATAACTTGATTTTAGCTAATTAAGATACGTGTCTTATATATATGCGACGATACACCTATATTTGTATTAATTGACAACTGTTTTGCTTTAATGATATGTGAAATTAAATGAGAGAGCTCAGTAGGTAAAATTACTTGACAGCAGTTGCTCACGTGTTTAACCCTAGTTGACCTCTGGCTGCAACCCACGCAAAGATATAAAATAAAGAAATCGTGATTGCCATACACAATTTTGACCAAAGACCAAAGAAACTGCGAGTCGCAAAACTAATTAAGTATTCATGTCAATGTGCTGAAAGAGGTATGAGTCTATGTCCAACTGGAAAAGTCGAGCAGCAACAGGATTAAAGACCACAATTGAGACTAGAGACTGACAGACAGACAGACAGACAACTTATAGATCTATGATAAGCGACCGGTTCCACAGAGTCGAGCAGAAAGTTGAGTGGGCCTTGGGCAGGGTAGCAATAAACTGGTCTTTTTGAATGAATACAATTCAGATATAACAATGCCACAGCTGCGAGTGTTAAAGCTATATTTATTTTTTGGGGCCAACAATCGAATCATGTACTAAAAAAATGTTTTGATTGTTAACAATTATATAATCATTAATGATCACAATCGGATCTTGTAAGAGCTAAGTCGTGTTAACCAAAATTGCTACTTTATATTTTCCTTCTTTAAGCTGTTGATAATTCGATTAATTTGAAAATTATAAAATAAATCAATAAGCTTTTATTTCGTTGGATTTAAACTATTAGGAATTTGAATCATCTCTCGTATCACCTTGTGAAGTAGGCGTTAGTGAAATGAAAAAGCAAAGTGATCCAATATTTTGGTGCAATATATTTCCACACGCAAAATACATATATACAAACTACATACATACATATGTGGCTTAAAATATGATTTGTGCCCCAAGAAGGCGAGCGATAAAATTAAAAGCCACTCAAGCAAGCACACGACGTGTGTATGCTTGAAAAAGTGAAAGTCTAAAAAATGTTATAATAAAAACAATCTATGAATAAGACAAAACAGCAGCAAATGCGGGAACAGCAGCAACAGCAACAGCAACAACAACTCAGTAGTTGCAACAGTTGTTGTTGGCTGGTGCCTGAAATTGATTGCTACATTTAACAACGGTAACGAAACCGCACAAATCGAACCAATACGCAAACCGGCCACGCCAAGCTCTTGGCCAACAACAAAACTGCAGCGGCCAAGACTCGTATCATGAGCAACCAGTTTTAACATTTTTTTTTTTTTAATCGAGTACAGGAAAATGCGATCGACTTGAAAAGTATGCGCAAAACATGCCCAAACAATGACAAATAATGGCAGCAGTAAATGTGGCCAGAATGCCGCCATAGAAAGGCAATATGAACCGAACGGGTATTAAATGGCTTAACCACTGCAATCGAGGTGTGGGTTCAATGGGCATTGACTGACTGACCACTGGTAACGGGTTGGCAATAGGAAGTATTGCCGACGAGCTATAAACCAAAATGGACGAGTGGTGGGACCCGGAATGGGAAGTTTTTTAAAATGGTTTAAAATTATATATGTTGCGCCGCACAGCTGAAGATTTTCCTTAGAGTGAAGACAAGCTCATGTGAAATGAAATGGCTTAGTTTGGGCTTAGATATTCTTGTTATTTTGTGAACTGTGATTTGTGTCTTGCAGTTCAATAAACCTTAAAGAGTTCCTTAAAGCTCATTAAGTCAAGTTTGGCTTGCCATCGTTATACACATTCACATAAATAAATACAAGACCTCCATTTGAGTCTGAGTCACAAGTTTTCGGCGGTTCTCTTTGCATTCTTCATATATGCTCATTTCCTTACACCCTTGCAATGGGTATTATAATTTCCTGGTGAGGTTTGTTATTTATTGAAGGCAACGTTTCTGGGAACATCTTTTGTTACTTTGTTACTTAACACTCAATGCTCATAAAATTTGGAGACGTACAAAATCACTCAGACTACTCAATGATATAGCTTTCATAAGAACATAAGTAGAAAGTCAGATTTTGGCAGATTGCCTCTACTCTGCAAAGATTTTTAATCTTCGGGATGCCAAAGTGTTGTTATTTTTTGATAATTAGTATGTCTCAATTAAACTGACGGAAATCAATAGGAATTCTTGGTTAACATCAATGATTCTACGAAACTTCGATACATATGTATATATGCATATATACATTGTTCATAATGAGTCACGAAGTTTGCTCATAACCCAGATAGTGATTTTTACACAATGCGTAACTGAATTCAAAGCTGTCATTTAATTTGGGTTTTTTTTGTATACAATATTATTCATCTCTGTTTTCTGCATGTTTCTCGCTTAAATAAGCTTGTCTTTAAATTGAGGGCTTGGTTTTTTTAAAGTTATTGAAGGACAAGCTAAATAAAAATAGACTTATGAAGTTGAATAATAAATAAAAGCTTAATAATTTTGTCTTGATTGTAAGTAGTGTTAATATGTCTATAAATTATGGGATGCTATTTTTTTATTTACTTTTAAATACCAAGTTTTATGCTTTCGAACTGTGGTTACTTGAAAAAACAGTTACTTGTGCTATATTGACAAAAAAAAATCGTCATAAAAAAGGCGTACGAATAAGGCAAAAATAAACATTAAATATTTGCCAAGACACTTTGGCAGCTGCTGAGCGAGACATTGCCCAAAATATAAATGAGTTAAACAAACAAGAGAGAAGAGATTGAGAACCATAGACACAGAGAGTCGGAGAGGCTTGTAAATCACCATATAAATAAGCATTAAAGCCAACTCTTCGACAGTGTCTCTTGAATTTGTTGTATTGGCGTTGAGGCATTTAAGATTGTGTAAAACTCAAGTGGCATGGATTAGAAAATGCCAATTAGATGAAACTTTTCTCTACTGACATTTTGGGCGAATTTCACCCATCGATATTAGGTGACGGCATAGTTAACAGCTCTCTGTTAAATGCCAAGAAAATGGCTTGCTAATTAAGGTTTATGATTTATAGAACAACTTGTTTTTAAGGTGTGCTTGTGTCTCTTTTTATTACACTTTTTGCATGTATTTTCTTGGAACGGGTTTTTTTTTTTGTTTAGTAGTGTACCACGACGCAAAATGACACCGAATCTAAATCGCAAAATAGCGAGTTTTAAAATTTGTTAGCTGCAGCTTTTAAAAGCAAAAGTGTTGCCAAAGTCTTACACAAAACCCGTTAGCTAACAATGGAAATCAGCAGAAGTGAAAGAAGTGAAATAAATCTCCAACAAACGAAAATAAACTAAACAAAAATGAGAATCAGATGGTGTTGTTTTTTTTATCTCTTTTTTTTCTCATTTTTTTATTCGTCTGGCGCATAACTTTCACATATAAATATGTACCGTTTGATGCCGCTCACTGCTGCACGACGAAGAAATGGAAATGAAAATGGCTAAGAGAAATTATGTTGACCTAGCAGCAGCTGTAAATCCGTTTAGATGAATGTTACGTTGTTGAGTGTTGAGTGCTTCTTTAGAGCAGAATTTCAGAGCACTTTTTCTTTATTGTTTTCACTTGAATCGCATTGGCCAACATTTCAAATGGCCTTTGCGTGCATTTCACTTTTCTGCACAGCTTTATATACACTTAACAAATACATTTCAACATTAATACATATAGACAAAAAATATATATATATATATTCGCTTGCGTGGCTCACAAAATTTTCAAATCAAAAATATTTTTATTTAGCATTTGATTTCTTTTCAATTATTGGTTATTTCTTCTGCTTTGCCGTTGGCCGCGTTGTCTGGCTTATTGTTGCTGTTGTTGTTGGGGTTGTTGCTGTTGCTGTTGCTGCATTTAACTTTTAGCCAGTTATCCACACATATATTTCAAATGTATATATACACACACACACAACACGCATACGCATGCGCGCACGTACCGTTTTTTGGGGAGAAGGAGACACAAGACGGTAGAGACGTGATTTTGTGCTTTCGATCTTTTTTCGTTGTCCGCCGCCAAGCTCTTTTCGAGTTCGTTGTCTTCGCCAAACTGAATTGAAGTCTTTCGTTTTGCTTATTGGAAGTGGTCGCAACAGTGGCTCTCAGCATGACGTTGCTTGCTATTTCTTTAACTTGGCTGGAAGTGAATTTTTTATGAGCATGTTCGTACTTTGAGAGTTGTTATTGTTGTTGTGGTTTTTGTTGTTTATTCAAATTTGACTTAAACTCACTTGTTGTGGTTGTTGTTCGCTTGGGACATAACGGTTTGGCAGCGATCTGGTTGGGTTAAGCGTGCGAATGGTTTGGTGCTTGGAAACATTCCAAGCTTTGGCTCTCTTCTCTTCTTTTCACTTTTTATACACCAACTGGAAAACATAATTATTTGCCTCTCCCTATTCGCATGCTGTTTATATACATATAGCTGTTTTTGCGACAACTTTGTCGAGGTCGTCTGGTTTCTTACTGCTCATTTCTACGCAGCCGCTTTCTGTCTCTCCTCTTGGCCATCGCTTTAAGTTTACAAATGGCAAAGTGAGTGGAGCGCGAGCATTGCAGTTGGAACAGACAGACAGCTGTTGTAGTCTGGAAGTAATTGAGCGCATGTGCAGCGTCTCTAAGAAACTGAGAGTATGCAATAAAATAAGATATTGATTGTATAACGCAAAAGCTATGTGCCTCGTCTTAAGAACCGAGAGGCGTTTAAGTTTATTCAACTGGTTTTTCATTTACATTTAACTATGCTCTGAATTAAGAACTTACATCAATAGGGATCTTAATTAACATATGACTGACTTAATCTTCATAGAATACATTTGACATGATTATTTTAGCACCAATATATATTTTCAATTATCTTCGTCGGATGATTCTTGCATTTGCTGCTCGGCCAAATATTCTTGAATTTTTGAATGCAATGCTGGATCAGCTTGCAGATGCTGCAGCTGGATGAATGCTTTACTGGCGCAGCCAACAACTGGACAACGGACATCAGTGCCGTTTTGAAGTGAAGCCTTAACGGTATCACGATCGTAGTGGTGTCCGCATTTAGTGTTGCGCACAGGATTCGACATAATGGCCTTCGACCAGGGATCATACATGGAGACAGCCATGCCACCAGTTTCCCGCACTTCAATCACATTGTCGTCGTCATGAGCGTTAGTGGCACTCGCATTGCTATCACTAATGCCTTCCATGGTTCTTTTAAACTCTTTGTACTCGGACGTCTGCTTAATGTTTATCCGTTTCTTCTCCTCTGTGGCAGATAATTGTGAGTAGATTTGTTCAAACTCTTCCACGGTATTTGCCTGATTCGAAGCGTGCTGTACATTAGTATCGATGCGCTTTTGCTTTGCCTTGATGAGCATTAGCTTTCCCCCGTACTCCAAACGTTCATTCATGATTTCATTGCCCAGCTTTTTTATTTCGTCCTGGAAACTGCCATCACAACCTGACATACAAATCAAAAAAGGTGTTGCATTTTTGAGACACCAAGAAACGGTAATGTACTTACAATTTTCCAATGACTTCATAAACAGCGAATTATCAATAAGGGTTTGTTTGACATCATCGACATTTTGTATAAAATCCATCGTATAATGTTAGTTATTTTCTCAATTGACGTTTTCTGTACGTAGCGCAGCTCAATTGTTTTTAATTTAGTGACTCCGATTACCCGATTATCGATGTAGTTATCGAAACGTCAAAATCGGTTTCTGGAAATAAACAAAATCAGTTAGGCGCGCTTTTCAAAAAAAAAAAAATGAAGCAATTAATATGAAAACAATGTAAAAAGAATATGAACATAATCTGGTTGATTAACATCTCAAATGAGTTGAACAAAGCTCAAATTTGTTAGTATGTAATCGTAATCTCCCATAAATTGTTATGCCTTGCCGTCGACAGCACCAATATATCGCTCAGCCGGCTAGCTATCGGCTCAACGGTAGTTCGACCGCGACCGCGGAAAGTTAACAAAAAATTGATGTTCTTTTATAAATAAAAAAAAAAAAAAATATTTCCATCAAACCAGTCCGCTCTCTGCTGTGTTGGCTGTGAGGGTGTTGTACAGCCTGCGTGTCCCTCCCTTCCTAGTGATTCCTGCTCTTAATTTCCTGGAGAAATTTCCTTTCACAATTATTCCTTTCTCGTTTGTTTATAATGCCCTCATCTCACCCGATCACATCGATTTACCACCTCATATTCATTTTTTTCAAACTATTTAATTTACAAATCATGTGATACATGTGACATAGTGATCCATAACATTTTGTTGTCCAACATTAAATTCGCTTATATATATGTAGTACAATTTTATTTATTTACTTAACTTAAAGCTTACAAAATATTTATAATTTTTCTTTCTTTTTTCTTGGCTTCAAAAGTGCGCATCACTAAGTGACAAAATGAGCATCAATATTGCATTGGTTAGAGCCGATCAGCTCTCTTTGGCTCTCTGTCGCAGTTAGGCGGGAACAAACTCACAGGTGTGTTGATATAATCCAAGTCGTCTCAGGGTCTCCGGGCTTCGACTTCCTAGTTCCTGAGTCCAGTTGTCCCTGGCATTTTCTCCTTGATGGTGGCGATAGATAGTTCTGCCTGTTGCTGCCGCCGGTTTGTATGATTTTATTTTATTTATCTGTTTTACTTTCGCTTTATATTTATTTATTTAATATATTTTTTGTTGTGTATAATTACTTCATAATTTATTTGAATTTCTATTTAAATAAATCTTTTTGCAGCGCAGTCTCCTCTTCCTCTTTCTTTTTTTTTTCTCGAGATGGCTCCCCATTCGATATCCCACGCCTATCGATCTATCTGCCGACTATTACAAAATACATAAATGATATCGAACTAACTGAGCGACGAACAAACCAGGGACTCTGTTCATTCGTTCAGTTTTGGTGAGTCATTCTATCGAACTTATTCTGAACGAAGCAAAATAAAACTGGTCACATTACGTTAAAATTGTATGTCGCGTTGTTCGGCTGTTGCTCGTGTAAAATTTAATAAAATTACACAAACGCACAACTCGCAGCCACAAACAACTTTTAATGTGAGTTGGAACACACGAGCCAGCAACAATGGGAGCCTGTGTATGTCGCATGAATCCCGACAATGAAACAATGAGTGTCTCCTCGGCGAGCGCATCGCGTCCGGTCAGCGCAGGTGAGTTTTTGTTCCCCATCAACCAATTCACATTCACATTCCAATTTGTGCATCCATTATCGAATGTAATTCTTTTGTTATTATTATTGTGTGTGTGCGTGTGTGCGTTTGTTTGGCTCTCTCTCACTCTCTGTTTCGCATATGTGTGTGTGTGTTTAGGCATCGCTTTGGGTGGCGCTGCGCGCAAAAATCGTCCACTGTGCCATGAGACAATTAAATGGCGTTCGGACGTCCCATTAACCGAAGGACAATTGCGCTCCAAGCGCGACGAGTTTTGGGACACAGCGCCGGCCTTCGATGGCCGCAAAGAGATCTGGGATGCACTCCGAGCGGCCACAAATGCAGCCGAGGGTCTGGACTTTCAAATGGCCCAGGCCATTCTGGATGGCGCCAATGTTTCGGTGCCCAATGGGTAAGTAAAATAATACTCAAATGTAATTACTTTTCACGCGTATAAAAAAAAAAATCAATAATTTGTTGCAAGTGATTTGAGCTGACCACTTATGCCGTCAATAGCATGTCCATTGCACTTTGTATGTGGCTTTTGTTAACTTCAATCAGAGTACAGTGATCGCTCGATATATGCCACGTTTCGCTGTCAAAGCGAAACATGATTCGACATATAAAATTGACAATAAGTGTTACAAATATGCCATTGCTTAAGCTAACTCTCATAGATAGTATAAATTCTGCATTGAAATGCATTTAATATTATGTATCTGGATCTGTCAATATCCAATCACCCACTGCCTATATATAGCGATCGGTATGTAGAAAGAGACTTGCTCAGGTCTGTGACACTCAAGAGTAGACTGAACTCTGAGGCAACAACGTGCTATAAATTATATTATTTTTCATAATTCCCTTGTTTTCAAATTTAAATACGAATTACGGGAATTCCTAAAAATAGAAAGTGTACAATGGAAACTAAGTTGAACAAAAGATATTTGCTCGACTTAATTAGTGAGCGATTGCTTTTCCTAAGTGTGTACGTTTCTCATACAGTTAATAATGAAATAATGAATTTAATTATATCGAGAACTGTATAATCACTAGAAATCCGAGCTCCTCTAAAATGGAATCGCTCTGATTTTCAGGGGAGATTCATAGAACGTAAATATGAATTTTTATTTATTTATTTATTTATATGTTAGGGTATTCGAACTTCGAACTTTGCTATAGTTAGATGATGAACTATTATTTGCCTGTTTAAAATCGATTTTTGACTGAGGGCCAAAACAATGCAGCAAAATGCGGTTGTAATAATGTCTAATAATTTATTTAAATGCATTTTTGACCTTTGCCACTTTCACACTCGTACGTGGAATGTTCTCTGGGATGTCCTTGCACCTGTTATTATATAGTTTTATCACTCTGTTATCTTTACAACGGCAACGTCAGCATTGGTATTATTGGCTTTAGCCAAACGTTTGGTTCAATGTGCGTATTTGGGGTAATTGCTGATAAGGTTTTCTTTTTTTATTATTCACATTTAGTTATTAACTAACATTTGTGTTTGATTGTAGCTACCTCACAGAATGCTACGATGAGCTGGGCACACAGTACAAGGTGCCCATCTATTGTTTATCATATCCCATAAACATTGTAAAGGAGGAAAATGGACGCGACTCGCCAGCTGAATACTCAGAGCCCGTCGATGGCGGCACCGAAATATTTCTCAAGCTGCGCATATCATCCACCATGACTGATGTTAAACTGCCTGTATACTCAAAGGATACGGTCGGACAGTGCAAGAAAAAGCTTCAAGTGAGTCACACACACATAAATATTTATGTATATATATATATTCATAAAGCTTGGCTAATCTGCTGTTGTGTTATCTTCAGGCTGTCGAGGGCGTCGATGCGTGTTGCCAACGTTGGTTCTACAGCGGCAAGCTGCTGGGCGATAAGGTGCCCATCGATGAGTGCAGCATACATCAAGGCTATGTGGTGCAGGTCATTGTTAATACGGAGCACTATAATCACGACAACAGCACGAGTATCGTTCAAATGTCGCTTGCGAGCTAGCAATGCACCAACTCTAAACTAGTCAACATAGGCAACAACAAGCTTTGTGAACACCACCATCAAAAACAACAACATTTAGCTAGCAGCGATAACAACAAATACATAATCATCAGGATAAATAACAGAAATGTTGCCACATATTGTGGCACAAAGAGCACAAAGAGCTTCAATGTAAAGCACAAAAAGCCACAGCAGAAGCAACAACAACAACCACAAAGTCAACAAATACATCCACAGCGAATATATTGCATTTATCAAAACTTGCACACTGCTGAATGTTTTGTTCTTTTTTGTGTTGTTGCCGCTTGTTCGCCTTATTGTTTATGTTGTTGTTGCTGTTTTGCTATTGCAATTTATACAATTCTGAGCGAAAGCAACAATTTAATGAAAAATGCTTATAAATCTAAAATTAATCATTTATATATATAAAAAAAAAAATTATATATATATATAAAAAAATATATATATACGTATAAATACATATATTTTTTTGATAATAAATTTATATGTTAACAATATTAAGCAGTCCCCAAACAGAAAACATCATTTGTATAAGGAATGGTACTGAATAATACTATTCAAAAATATGCTTTTGAGACTCACAATTGAAAATCAAATAAACAAATGTACATTTTTCGTGAAATCAAAAAAGCAAACTATAACAACTCAGAAGTTCAGAAGTAAAAAAAAAATACAAAGTAAATACAAAACTGTTTATTAACTAATTGTAAGCAAATATTGCAAACATTTGTATGTTAAGTTCAAAATGAAGAGAAAAGTAAAATAACAAAAAAAAAAAAACTGTAGTATTTGGCTGTAAGATGGAACAACAAAGCAAATATAAACATTTGCCATAAATGTTGAAATACTACAATTTACCAACTTTTGATACTGTACAATGAAGCATTAATGTAAGAACGAATGCCAAGCACAAATTTAAAGTGAAACAACAAAACGATAAACAATTGTTAAACATTTTTCTTGCTCAATGTAGTTAACATACAATAGTAGAAAGTGGTTGAACAACGAGGCGTTAATATCGGATAGATTAAAACCCAAGTACCTTATAAATGTATATGATTTTTTGCTTATAGTTTTATAGCCATAACAGAAATACAATCAAGTGCTTATTTATTAAACAAACATTCTAATTTTCTATGAATTTCTTACAAAAAAAAAAACTAAACTAAAAATATATTTATTGCAATATCGGAAAGAATAAAGAATTCGGAAAAGCAGAAGAGATTGTGCAAATTAGCTAATGAACGCAACAACTGGAACACGATTAATGTTAGTTATTATTGTTTTAATATATTTGTTTACATGTTTATGTGGCACAAATGACAATGAGCCAATTACTCATAGAACAATATCGATGGCGTTCTGTTTTGAGGCACCAGCATGTCTTCAATGTGTTTGTGTGTTGTATTACAATTTCTATGCAAACTTTTTTTAATTATTAATAATTGTATTATAAAAAAAAGAAGAAAAAACAACAAATAAAATGTAAATTTGCGAAACGTGTAGACTCTAACCACGAGCATCCAATTTCTGCAGTAGAGTGAGGAAAGAAAATGCCGTTGTGATGGTCTGTAAGATCAAATATTTAAATAGGATATGTGCTTAAATAAGGAGTACAGGCCACTCACCCCCCTCAAGCGATCCACATTCAGATTATAAATTTTACCAGCAGTCAGTCTAAATTCGCGTCGTGAGTTTATCATGAATATTATATAATCGCGGCGCAACTGATGCATATGCAGATGCCAAGGACTGCGCCACAGTGCCTCCCCACATCGCTGACTGTTCTGATAGACGATGTCGGCAAAGTAGCAGATGATGAACAGCTCGTAGACCACCAAGAGCAGATATTGACCCAGTGACACCATGCGCATAAATGAGTTGGCTGTAGTGCTCTTTGTGGACACAAATGCCACCAGGCACATGAGAAACGTTACCTCGCCGATCTTGAACAACCAAATCGGATTATAGAAACTTTCCATCTTTTGCAGTATTGATATTATATAACGATGTTGCTGCAAACAGTGTGTAAATGATTGCTTGAAGGCTCCGTAAAAACCCATATTGTTGCTGGGCTTTCGTTGCTCGATAAGCTGTTCCGGCGGAGTCAGTATTTCCAGGGAGTAGCTGTACTGGTCTGGCTCGGCATCTGCCACGGATTGCGCCTCTCGGAGTTTACTGTGGGTAAGTAAAGGTTTAGAAATCTAGTAATCTTAGCTTTTAATGTATTAAATATATATTTATAATTTTATAAAAACTATGATAATATTTTCAATGGAATGGAATAATAGCTAAAAAACAATTTTAATATAAAAATTAAATCATAAAAATAACTAATAATATCTTAAACATTCATTACGAACAAAGATTCTTTTAGAAATTGTTAAATAAAATCGTTTGAGCTAAAATATCTTTTTTGGCATAATTAACATAAAAAACATATTTTTTTGCAAATTAAAAACCTTTTTTGGAACTCAAGCGTTTGTATTTATCAAATAATTTGACCATTTAAACCTTAGCTGCTCCAGATTGGCACCCATTTTCAAATAACTGGTGGCGAGCACATTTTTCAAGCTGCAAAACAGAATATCATATTGTCCACATGTAAGAATGCTCAGCACCATATGAAATCCACTAGAAGCTGAAAAGGCAGCTGCCACTTGAATCTGCCCCATGGCCTGCAGAAAGAATACCAACTGATAGACATACGGTTGCTGTAAGCAAACAGACACATTAAAATCTATAATGATGAGGTATGTATTATAGCTTACTTTATAATCAAATGGATACCAACAGGATAAGGGCAGACTTCGATCTCTGTAAACTATGGGCAACGCCAGCCAGAATATCGTGCCCACAAAACAGCAGTAGACATAACTCTTGATCCACAGATTGGATTGACGCAATGCACTCCTAACGGTCACATAGGTAAATCCGGGTGCCGAACGTAGCTGATGTTTATCATTGATAAAACTAATAATCTGTGTCAACAGCTTGGGTCTAACCCGACGAAAGTACAACTTCATTGCAATGGTCCACGTGTAGATGATCGTTTGCAACAGACAATTGACCAGAAACTCCAGATCACCTTGGCCATAGTAAATGTAGATAGTGCCGATAAATAATGCCGCTATATGCACAGACACAAACAACGTGAATATCTCGTATATTCCATCTGCGATTCGTATTAAGTAGTTTAAACAGTTGTTTTCCTTTCTCAAACTCAATGGATACATTGCCGCCACTCGCATTGTCAAGAGTATAAATCCAAAGAGATCGCGACGTTCGATTTGCTTCACAATATTTTCATCTGACTGCTTCATGCTGTAGTCTTTGAAGTTTGATATATTTTGAAGTCCTTATATATAGGCTTTGGGTGGTTTTATTTGTGGGCGTTGCATAGTGTATTCTTATCATGAACTTTAAATTATAAGTTGCTGTCAAAAGTTCTCATTGAAATTAAATGTTATATTAATATTTCATAAGTAAATTGACAGCCAATCAAAAGTATTGATAAAGTCATCTGCTTTCTATGATTTACATTCATTCTCAATCAAAACTTTTGCTTAGTAATCAAAAGTTTTCAAATTCAATTTCACACCCTCAAATTCATTTAGATAGTTAGCCATCAAATTGAAGGCCTCTGCAATAGCAAAAACACTTTTAGAAAACGTCAGTAGTTAAATGAGGTTTCTACATATGTCTATAATCTAACTATATTTAAAAAATATTAGTTGATCTTTATAATTTGATCCGATACGGTTTAATTAACTGTTTAGTTGGCATATTTAGCAACAAAGCCTTGCCGTCGCTAGTTAAGTTTTGTAGCAAAGCATTAATATCGTAATTACAAATTTAATATAATAATTACAGTGTTGAGCTGTTGATTAAGACATAAAATGTGTTTGCTTCGACAGTGCCGAACTGGCAGATACCCTGTACCCATCTGTAAATTGTCGAAATAAACTTGGTAAGGTATGACTTCTGGCAAAGTTTCCAAAAGTTCACTGCTATTTCAGTTAAACTGTTAATATATATAAAGTGTATATATACTTTTGTCAAATATTATAACTTGGCTTATATTTAGTTTTGATTATTATAATTACTTGCTTGTGTCTACTTTTAATATTCTCCACTTTTAACACGAATCTTTGAAGATTGCAGGTTATAAATAAGAGAAAGCCTTCTATAAGTAGTCCAATTCAATGCACAAGTTGTGAATGCAATTCACAAGCAGAACTTAAGTTTCGAACAATAGCGGAATATGCCAGAAGTTGTTGAGTTAATTGGGTTCAGCAAAGGGAGGAACATTCCAGGTCAATAGATAGGAACAGAGTTGCGACAAGTTTACGCTGCAACATGGCGTATGCATGTTGTACGAAACTCAAACAACAACAAGGACAACAAACGGAATGCGAGCAATGCGAGCAGAAGGATTAAACAAAAGCGCGGAAAGTTGAAATGCTAAAGAGAATGTTAGAACAATTGAGAATGCGCATCAGCAAAACTGCCATTTGCCAGCTATCAGTTAAATGACTGTCATTAGCAATGCGGTCCTGCGATAACGAATAAAGAAGATGGGCGATGTTTATTTATTCATTCCTTAATATGCTGCGGTTTCTTTTTTATTTATTTTCATTTGTAATTTTACTGCAATGAGATACAAACAGACAAAGTAGTTGGGAAATGAAGCGTAAAGCGAACAAAATGATTGGTTAATATGAGAATAAAATACGCAATATAAAATATTTGTATAGAAAATACATGTGAAAAACGCTTTGTTTAATCTCAATCGATGTTCAGTTGACGGAAGGTGCCTTCCATGCCAAATAAATCATCGCTGGTCTTTGGTGCGCCCGGACGCAAGGATTCGTTGGCCTTCTTGTCCTCCTGCTCCTTGAACCATTCGGTCTTGTCGACCAGTTTCTGTTTCCACCACTGATTCAGCTCGACAATGGGACCCGCCTTGCCGCCGTACTCATTGGGCAGCAGATCACGTGGCACCACCTTGTACAGGCTCTCCACATCATTGTGGAAGGTAATACGGCTGCGGATCTTCTCCTTGACGAAGGGCTTAACAAAGTTGAAGATGGTATCGACCAGTGGCGAAATGTTAATCACATGAACCTCCTTCACCTTGACGGGATATGCCTCCTGGACTGCAATAAGGAATTTCTTCACCACCGTGGGTGAGAATTTGGCAAAATGCGATGCACTCGCAACGACTGCATCCAAAATGAAGATATCCCCAGCAATGCCGACAGACTCCTCAGCCAGTCGAACATCACCAATCATGAGAGCCACCTTCATTGCATCGAGAATGTGATGCGGCTGGAAATCGCAATCGATGCCGCGTATAAACGTAATCCGACGTCCATTTGGCGTTATTCCAGGCAATGTGGGACAGTGACTAATAATTGATAGATATGCACATTTAATATAAAGATTCATTTCTTAGTCTTCTTCCCGATGCGGCTTACACATAGTCCAGCACAATGTTGAGCTCCTCGCGATTGATATCGCGATTGGAGAAGAACTCGGGCACCGCATTCCTCATCGTATAGTACATGTCCAGCTTCTTCTTGACCTTCTCCATGCTGAACTTGCAGCCGCGCAAGAATGTCGTCAGACGCATATCGTCCATGTCCTTGGGCAGATGTGGTTGCGTCTCCAGCCACTCGCGGATCAACTTAATGTCACGCTCAATATCAGCTGGATCCTCCGGTTCGCGCAGCTCCTCGCGTATGCTCACGCGCTGTGCCGGTGTTGGATGTAGCATCATCATCTGATTTTAGCAAAACAATAAGAAATTCATAATTTATTAAATTAGTTTAGAGTCAAACAAGATAGGAAAGTTTGCCTCGATAAGAATACATATCCGATCTGAACAGATAATGATAGTTTTTGGGAAAATATAAGAAAGATAACGACATAATGAATTTAAATACGTATCTTTAATGAGGTATTATTTATTATTAAAAATACGATTATTTATTTATTCCTTGATATGCTTCGGCTTCTTTTTATTTACTTTTGTAAACAACGTAGTTGGTGTGGTTGGTTAATATGAGAACTAAATATGCAATATAAAATAGATCTATAGAAAATGTGTATTCTTTATTATGTGTATGTAAGGTATTCTTTATTATTAGCAATTTTATTATTGATTGATCCATTGTATGCAGCAATGCAATGAGTATTCCGGCTCTGAGATGCACATTTCTGATGGACATTTTGTCCAAAAATGAATATAAGTACAAATTATACATAAGGAAGCAATTGCACAAATACAATTATTGTGTATAATAAATTACTTGTTGCAGACTCACTTGACTGTTGAAATTCGACCCCATTAAAGCCATCTGTGACTTGGCCAATCATTATTTGTTGACGTGCTATCTTCTATCTAATAATATATATGTATATTTTTGTACATTTTAATTGAGCTACTATGAAATCTCCACTTAATGTCACAGGCGAGTGCGTCGTTTCATTAACATGGCCAGATACCCCTTATACGAATACATGCATGTATCTATATATACATATATATAGATATTCATATATATATATATTGTTTTAATGTTGCAGTACTTTTTAGAGCCGAAGACGGAGGCACACAGGCAAAGAGATAGTAAGTAAAGTCACGCCCATTTGCGTAAGAGTATTCAGTTGAGTCCAAATCAACTGCGAAGCGACCTTAAAATAGAAACTGTTCATTGTTCACGTCTATTCAGCAAATATTTCGGTTGACTTTTTGATGTACTATCAGCGATTGCGGCAACAACAACAAATGCCACAACAATGCTATATAAGACTCCATAAAATAAAGTGCAAAATAAGAGACACACTTTTGCATAGTACATACACACTATCACACACTCACACACACTTACACACACACATAAATAATTGCAAAAGCAAAGCAACAGCTGAAACTCAGTTCCGTGCGTAAATGAGCCGGGAAAGCTATGCTTAAAATACTTTTGGCTTAAACACTAGCCTTTAAATGTTAATTTTGTAATTTTGCTTTGGTCTTGACCTCCCCACTGTTTCTGTCTTCAACTAATTTGTGTCTGTTGTTTGGTTGTTGATTTCGCTTTTACTATTCTCTTTACTTATTTGTGGCTGTGACTGTGGCACTGCGCAATGCGTAAATATTGTGCTGTTTATCTGAGTCCATGGACTGTGTTTGCTTTACGTAAAGTAAATGTGTTTAATTGCTCTATTATGGTCAGCTACAGCTGGTAAAACTTAGAGAGATATTTGATGAAACGAGATTCTTAGAGACTCGACTAAAATTGTGGTCAAAGGAAATTTGGTTAAATAATGCATAGTTATAAATGTAGTGTTGTAGAATAGAAGATAATATTATTATTTTTTGGTGAGGGTAAGTTACTTACGGGATGTCGAATGAAATTTAATTTAAAGCTAAAACATTTTACTTCAGATCTCTATTTTTTAATTAACTAAATCCAATTTTCTATAAATTATTTCAACATCAATTCTACATAAATAATAATTTTCAATGTTTTGTATAAAAAAATTACTTTCCCGCAAGCTGAAATTTTTTTACAAAATGAAACCAGCGCGACCACTACAAAAACTTTAGGTTTGTAATCGGATTTGCAACACAACAACTGCCACCATGTGGCAATAGACAAAAGAGTGTCATGCCTCATTTAGGCCAACCAGCAAGAAAAGCGACTGTTTCATTGCTGTGATTTGGTTGGAAAAGAATGCCGAAATGCAAAGCCAAACCTCGTGCTAAGTACTGTATGCCACAAGCAACCTGCAATAGCAATCGAACGTGCCACAAGCAACGGCTGCAGCAACAATTACTACCGGTTGCACATTCAATATAAATGTGTTGGATCTGGAAGTGGATGTGGATGTGGTAGTGGTAGTGGCTTGTGCATCGTGTGGAAACTAAGCGCACATTGCTCTATGTACACTCATGTGGCTGTCTCATAGTTGTTGTTGCTGTTGTTGTTGGTAATGGTCATTGCGTTTATTGCAAATGTTGCCTGCAACAGCAACAACATCAATTATTGCGAAAATCTTCGCGAAAACCAAAATTTAAGGCGGTTCAAATAGAAACGGGTTTATTGCCTGGCTTTTGGTCGTTAGGCTCAAACTGCTCCTCTCTCAGTGTCTCTCTTTGTTCATATATGCCATTATTATTATTACTTTAATGCTATTTGCGTTTGTTTTGTAATTGTGTGGTCTTCAGCACATTTGTGGGCAGTGTTTCTCAGTCAAAAAGTGTATGAGGAAATTCAACATAAATGTGTCAAGTAACAAGTGTTATTTCTTAATCTGAATAGTGCATATGAAACGAAAGTCTCAAAATACAATTTGAGGGTACTCTGTGCACTTTACATAAAAAGGGAGTATTTCCTTTAGCACATTTTTAGCATTCACATTTTGGATTTCAATTGAAATTCGTGAAGCCTTTGATTTATCAGAGTTATTCTTCTCGATTATTGCTTTAGCACAATTGGCTTTAATTTATACGCATTCCAAGCTAAGCTGATGTCCAATCCTTCTTTGAAAAACCGTTCATATTTACAATTGTTCTTCTCGTCGCACAATTTAACTGCACATGATTTGCACACATATTTGATTGCTGTTATTGTTGCACTCATTTAAATTCCATGCTGCATTTCAGATTTCGGCTGGTGTGCATGACAATTCTTATAAAATTCAAAGATTTATATTGATATGGCGGATTTGAAACAAAAAGCGCAATCTGCATTTCTGATTTCTGTATAGCCGAATCTATTTAAATGTTTGCCTGTGTATAACAGCTCACCTTGATTATGGTTAGTTAATTGGTTAGTCAGCTGGTAATCCTTTTTTGGGGTTGTTTTTATTTTTGAATTTTTTTTTCTTTTTGAGTATCCAATGGGAAAGGCACAGGAACGGAATGGAGACACAAAAAACTCAACCGAAGCGCTGAAGACGGTAACTGAATCTGAACGTCTCGAAACAAGTTACGGAGCATATAAATACTCAAGCGAGCCAAGCGGCCAACGAACAACGACAACGAAGCAGCTGACGAACAACGAACAACGATTGCAATACTAACAACAACAACAACACCAACCACAACAACAGCAACAACGTGAGCAGAAGAAAACCGAAAGCCGTTAAACAGATCATGCCACGAAAATCGGTCAAAGAGAAAAATCTGCACGAACCAACGACTGTCTGTGTCTGCATCTGCGTAAGTTTTTCCATGGCTTGGAAAAGGAGGGAAAGGGGCTAGATTCGTCTGTCATTTTGCGCAAGAGAAGTTCAATGAGCGCACAACGGCTACAGAGCTGCCACGCTCCACTGCCGGCCATTCAGCCAGCAATATATTACAGCGGTCAGCTTTGCAGCACAAAAAAAATGAAAACAAATGATAAATAATACTCGTGTCAGCTGCTTAGCCAAGTTTCCAACCAGCGCTGGCAAAGTTTGTGCCTTAAGTCTTTTGTTTGAGTTCTGTCTGCTGCACAACCACGCGGCTTTAGCAGTGGCATTATGCTCAGCTGATATTCATTTGTAAAGACAAATATATATATTTATATATAGATACACTATTTTATCCACTATTTTTTCCACTTTCTATCGATCTAAAAATAAATGACTAAGTATCGTTAGCTATGGCGAAAATGTAGCTGAAAATTGATGAATATAATCGAAACGCCTTAGCGTGCACATTTCAATGGATTTTCAACTGAAAATCACTTTTGTTATAATTATTGCAGTTTTTATTTTTCGTTATTTCTCTGTGTTTTTTTTCGACACATTTCAATTAAGCAATTTGACTAAGCAATCCATATTATTGACTACGATTTCTACTCTACTCTGAGAGTCGTTGAACTTGTGGCGGTGCCAGTAGCATTTCCTCATTTTTATTTAAATAAAACCACAGTAAAAAAAATTAATTTTCCATAATCCATAAGGTTATCATGGACTGTGTTTACGAATTGTTTTGGGTTTATTGTTCCACTTGATGATTGCCAACAATTATTAAGACTCATAAGCGTGCTCTTGTCTAGGGTCAACTTCAGTTTTATTAAGCACTCTACATTAACGATTTGCGTTTTATTGAACCAGCTACTGCACTTTCTTGGGGGGATATGGAGAGTAACAACGAAAATGTTGCACAAATTAAAGGGAAAATAATAAAATACTAAAGTGGTTAAATTATAAAATTTCAAATTTTCCATGAATTTGAGAATATTTTTCCAATGACATAGATTCCATTAATTAAACTTTTCATTTTATAAAAAAATTTATTATGTATTATTCTTTTTAAACTTATATATAGTCTAGTTTTCTTGGTTTTAAAAATCAGCTATTAATGACAAATACCATTTTTTCGATATTTAATTTTATTGTTATTATAGTAGAATATTCATTCTACAGTCGTTCTTATTTTAAGGCAACATCTGCACATATTTATAATACACAGAAGAACATTTCTATTCAATAAATCTTTAAAAATGTCTTTACTTGACATTGCTTAAACTTTCGCCACATAATTATGTAATTTACGCAGTATCATAATGTTGGAGTCGATAAACAATTTATAATACTTTAACGATGTACATGCAATTTTGGCACTCTGTATTCACAAAAACTTGAGCAGAGTCTGTAGCAAGACTCAAAACAATGACAAATCGAGTTAAAAACATTTTAAAAAACATGCATGACTAAGAAATTAAAAACATAAAATGGCTTCCTCCCCTTGCACACTTTCCAACCATTCTTCGTACTTAAGCAACAGCAGTCATAATGAAGAAGAAAACTAATTAAACAGTAGACTAATAAATTAGGCAGCTGCTACCCATTCTTGCAGTTGTCGTTGTTGCTGTTGTTGCACAAGTCAAGAAACTTTCATTGTCAGACAGAAAGTCGGAGCCACACAAGAAATAAGAAGAAATTAAGCAGCTAAGCACTTGTAGAGGAAGAGGAAGATATTTGGATGAAGTAGCACATATCTATAACGTAGCAAAGAAGGTAACTTGTTGTTGCAACAAACAAGCAATATATATATATATATATATATATATATTTCGTGTGTTTCCTGGCGCGCATAGTTTTAGTGTCAGGCACATGAAAGCTGTTGGAAGAAATAAAATTCCCTAAGTAGCTGTATATATATATAAATATATGATGTACTCGCAAGAAGCTCACAACCGTGGCCGCATTTAAGCAGAGTGTGAATTGTGTAGCGTTGCTTGTGAGTTCAGCTCGGTTCAGTTCAGTTGCAGTTGAAACTGAAGTTGGGCAATCCAAGAAACCATAATCATAAAGCGCGCTTTCAAAATGTGTGGCCTATGTATGTATAACTGTGTATATGCGTAAACGCTGGATTTCAAATTACATTTTTGCCACATTTCGTTTAAAACACTCAACACACTTTAATTGCCAACTTCAATTGTTGTTGCATTAACTGGCTTAGCTAACAGCTTTTTAATGTGCCTGCCAAAAAAAAAGTAAAAAAGCTGAAGAAAAAAAGTAATAAAACACGGCAGACTAGAAATCGGCATTAATCATTTATATTCAATTAAGCGAGTTTTGCTCATCTGTCCGGCGAAGAAAAAATTGTTGGCATGCAGCGATGCATGCAATCCTTAAACTTACTTCAATATTTGCACATGTGGGCGATTATAACTGGGCAAGTGGGCGTGGCAATGAGTGAGTCATCAAGCTATTGTCCATTACGTGATCATCTTTAGCGTACATCCAAAAAATATAGTGAGACATTTTAAATATTTACCATCAATTACAGAAAAAAGATCGGCATAAAAAAAGGAACGTAAATTTAAAGAGATCGGTTTATGGATGATCTATGATTAATAGTGCTTGCAACGTTTTTTAGAGATTAGCTGTTCACTCTTGGCTTATATAACATATTTTACATGAGTTTCGAACATTTTTGGTGCAGATAATTTCCTGAAATCCTAATTAAACATGTTCCTCAATTTACTTACCTTAGAATCATCATTTTTTTTAGTAATATTTGCAATGAATAAAATACACTTGTTAAAATAGAGAAATGTTTTCTTGTATTGATTAGAGTTTGTACTACACATTTATTGGTTTTTGCGTATTGCGTTTACAATCAAAGCATTACATTTGAGAAGATATTCAGGTGAACAAATCAATAAAATATATATATGTATTTATGTGCTTGTAAACTAGTACAAAATTGCTGTTGATATACGATAACAATTAAATATTTGAATCTGGTTACTGTTTCCACAATTTAAAGGAATCTGTGACTGCTGACTGCTCAGTGGCTATCATAAAACATAAACTTTGACACAATTTGTTGGTACGGACAACAAGCAATACAATATATCAACTTTGTTGTTGTTCTTTTTGTTCACTTGAGCTGCACCAGCACCATGAAATAAGTGACAACAGCACCGAGCACCTAGAAAAAGTTTCAAGTTGTAAATTGTAAATTGTCAGGAATGGAGAGCGGGAGGAGGGGGTAGGTGTAATGCTTACGGAGGCAAACAAATCCAGCGAGACAGTGAAGAATTTAGCACCTGATATACTCATTGCCTTTTGACACTGTTGGCAAACGATCTGCACAAAAGTTTTGGCCTCCTCAGAGCCATCGTACCAGTGACAGGAGTAGGCCGCCTCCATGACAGATGAGCTCTGTGTGTGTATGTGTGTGTGTGTGTTGCAGTTGTTAATGTGCAATTGTTGTTGTTAACTCAGGAATTTTGTACACTCACCTCTTCAATCAGACGGTTGCCAAAAATGCAAAAGTGAAACACCTGCGCCAGTGCATAGCCCAAATATCCAATTACCGTAAATGCATATACATTAACCCCATTGATTTTTGTTGCCTGATAGGCGAGTAGTGTCAGCATTATGGTCGAAACAAGCATATGCAACAGTAGAGCAGCACCGTATGTATCCCCAATGGCAGCGACCAACCTAATTGGACACGACATGAGTGAGAAAGCTCGATAATTGTATTACACACTTAATTGGTTAGTGAAATGAAAATTTGACTCAATTCAAAAGCAATAAAAAATCTCGCATTTTCCTGATAATATCAAATTCTCTGTCTGTTTCAAACCTGAGCCTTTGCTATACGATATTTAAGGTAATTCAATTACGTTTCCAATAAGTATAAAATTATATGTGTAATCCGCTAGAAATAATGGGTTGGATTGTATATATGCAAAAACACATTTTTTCGCCAAATACAAAGGCATGGCATATAAACATAACTTTATATTATAAAATTAATTAAATTATTAATTTAATTGACATGTAACTTTCATGTTTGTATTGCTAATCTAACTTATCATTAGAAAAATAATACTGCTAGATTGGATTTACTAATTTCTAATCACTTTTAATAGCTGTTGTTGCATTTCATTAAATATTTTTACCCATACAATATATATATATATAATACTGCATATCCATATATCTCAAAATCTGTATTTCAATTCTAACAAACTACAGATTGTTTTTATATTAATACAAGTTTCTTTGCAAAACTCAAGAAAGTCATTAGGAAAACTATGCCAAGAAAAAAAATTGCTTATGACGACATTACACTTAAACTCAAACTGTGGATTTGATATCCATTATAAGCGGACAACAAGATTATAATAAACTATCTCTAAACCATAACCACACATATAAGATTAAAGTAACATTTGTAACATAAGTAAATGGAATAGGAAAACTAATGTTGATATTGAAGTTTATGTAGGAGGCTTTTACATTTGAATAATTTGCAATATTAAAATAAATTTAAATTGGTTACAAAATTGTAAACTAACAAAGCATATTGTTTTTTAGTTTCTTATTATCTCTCCTTATAGCACTGTAAGGGCCCTTCAGTTTTAATAGTTTATGTGGGAACATTTCGATTTATTTAAACTATTCACACGCTTTCAATCCCATACAACAAGCCCACTGAATCTTCAGTAACTAGCAGTGTGTATTGATTTTGTATGCTGCACACAATTTGCCATTACATTTCGGGTATTTGGGAATTGGACTTACCGGACGACGTGCTTGTGCCGCTCCACCCAATACTTGATGGCGCTGCGAACCATCATTTCCTGTTTTTTGCTGAGCCCATTGGGATTAGAGGCCATGCCATTGCCATTTGCTGCCGGATTGAAGGATTGCAATGTTGATGGTGCTCGAAATTGTGCACCCCAATCTGCTTTGGTGCTGTAGATGCCGGTCATATCCATGTCCACTTCCTTCTCTGCAAATGAAATTGAAGCTTGGCATGCAATTTGTGCAACAAATACGCACCCTCATTATGTATGAGCTCCGACTTGGAATTGGCCGAAAGTGAACGAAACAATGCAGCCGAATTGGGTCTGTAGGTGTCCAGCGAGGCTGATAGTTCCATTAACGGTTTCATAATGCCCTTCAGATGTTGCAGCTGCTCGCAAGCAAATATCAACCAGGAGCAGAACATCACATCACATAAATTCGAATGCATCATGGAGAAGAGTACGTAGTAAATCTGCAGCACGAAGCTAATCATATAGAACATGCCATGGCTCGAATCCCATGGATAGAATGCTTTTATCGGCAATCTGGGTATTGGAACGGTAATCGTGGAGTTCGTCTCCTTATCCATCGCAAACTTGACGCTTTCCCCAAAGAACGTAATTGTTATCCAGGCTGTAGCCGAGGCGACAGTTGTTAGCATGACCAGAAAGAAGAGTTTACGCATTTTGGCCAAGGATATTGAATGATATCGTGCATCTGACTCGGCGAATAATGAATGTGAATTAGCCTGATTCCAAATGTTTAAGGTTCTAACACGAACAGAACTCTTTAGTATCATTTACGGATATTCTCAATTACTTAGCTTACCTGTAAAAGTTCTTCTGATTGATGGCCAGGTAGACAAACTTGACAATGCAATGCGTAAAGAACAGAGTAGTAATTGTGTTGCCGGACAGCTCATTGACCTCCTCCGCATTCAGTGCCATATTCACCAGTATGAAACAAAACTGCAGCACAATAATTACCAAATGCACCGATGAGAAGATTCTTTTCATGAACACGCTGCCTCCAGTAAAGTTATGCATAAATAATCCAGTGTATCTCATCGTCAGTATGTTCGGCATCAGGTCGGCCACCAGGCCGGTATACTTGCTGGGCTGCATTGATGTAGACATCCCTTTAGCTAACAATATTCGTAACTAAGTTAAATGATTTCCTTATGGATGCCCTGTATTTTCGTTAAATCAAAGAAACATACATTATGGTAATTACCAAAGGAATACCCTTTTTCTGCGTCTTTCAACAATGCTAATAGATAGGAGATATTAACAAAGAATTCTAAAAACAATTTTACAACAACATTTTATTTTCCGAGTGGCCGCATGACTAATTCGCTTTAGAATTGCAAATATTATTGGGATTACTCATTTTTAAAAACCCATTTTTTTATATTTTGTTTTTGCTTTGTTTTTAAAGATTTTTTTGGTAAACATTGTATTTTTTTTTATTTTTATTTCAGCAATTACTGATTTTATGAAGTTTCA